AGCCTGTGGGATGGTGAATATTGGCACATGAGTACCAACAAGAGCATTTCCTGTTTGCGTGGATAGGTCTTTGGATCCAACCATATATGCTATACTCTCTGCAATCGCTTTGACTGCAAAAAAGAAGTTGTGTTTTCTACCTGAAAATTTTGGATTTTTTTTCCTCCTCCCCCCCACACCAGGCTTATGTGTACCAGAACAACATCTATTTGAAACAGGATCCCAGACAACCTGCTATTCAAATAACCAAGGATGGTAGTCAGAATAAAATATTTAATGGAATTCCTGACTGGGTTTATGAAGGTAAACTGCATCTTAAAATCAGCGTCATTTCTATATATGGCAAATGTTAGGCATTCAAAAACTGTCATGCCACTGACAACAGCCAACTACTGTTCTCTGTGGCTTAACATTGTGTTAAACCTTTCTTCATAAGGGTTGCGTTTCTCCAAGTGTGTGGTTTCTCAACATCCTTTATCTTGGTCTTTCATACCCTATTGCATCTTTCCTTAGGTCAATAATCTAAAGTAAAAGGAGTATATATCCCAGTCAGTTTCTGCCTACCCCAGTTTTAGATCCTTTTTCAGGTTTCGCAGGTGGGTGTCATAAAGCCAATTGTCAGATAGATCTCGTATCTTGTCCATCTGCAGTATTACAGCATTTTTATTTCTAATCAAAGAGGATGTTGCAAACAACATCTTGTTGATGAGCAAGGTCTATAACCTAATATGGGCCTGAGAGATGGGAGAGCAAACTCTACACTGGAGAAGCTTTGAAGCAAATGCAGTGAGGATCAGGTGGAGATGAGGCAATTTCCACCAGTTCTTCCTGTCTTGTCCAGTCCTCTGTACTTCCCAAACGTCTACCCTTAAGGGTTGGGGAATCCTCTGAAAAACAGTGGTAGGTAGACCAGCTTCCTTCACTGGATCTCAGTCCCTCCGCATTCCCAGGAGAGCAAGTCTGGATCCAAACCACTAAATTTAGAAAGTGTAAACAGTTCAAATATTGCACCAACCACAGTATAAAATAATGTCACAAATGTTTTGAATCATTGCAGCAGTAGCCCAACAAAACAGTAGCTGTCACCAGGAGGTTCCCCTATGAGTAGATATTCAGCTGCCCAAAGTTCCCCCAAAACCCCGCAGAAACCCAGCTAGCCCAGTCTTGATTATGGAAGCCTGGCTTAATCAGCAGTTGCTCTGATGTGAAAACAGCAAATCCAGGGACTCCCTTTCTTCCAAAGTTAACATCAGCCTTGCAAGGAAGACCAAAACTTAATTTAAACTGGTAGGAATGTTGGGAATGGATGCGGTAGCAAGTCCAAGTGGTTAAGCACCAAACCAAGCACCACACTGTTTTCCCAACCACAATTCAAAAAAGCACAACATGTGGAGAATTTTAATTTTTTGTTAAGAAAAAGGAGAAAAAGTCAAATTACAAAAAGGAAAACTCTTAATTTTCTACATCAATTCCGGTAAATGAGACAAGTCTAAACTGCAATAATCTTAAGCAAACAACAGGTAAAGAACACCTGCACATATAACAGGAAAGTTAATTAGCCTGTTCTAATTACTCTAAGGATCTACTGTATAACTTGATGTAATCAGATCTCTAAGCTCACACAGAGTGTGGGTCTCCCTAGCATAGTAATTTTTGGAAATCTCAAGGCACGTGGCTCCTCTCTTCTCTTGGTCCTAACTATTCTAATACTTTTTTTTAACCTCATACTCAAACGACACATCTTTGCCAATCCCTAGTGGAACACAAACTATTTTCTAGGTATCCGCTTTGATTACTCCCTGCAATGCAACGGTGGTTTACCACTCAATTACAAGCCCTATTTCAGATGGTTTTCAAAGTGACCTTGGCTTAATTCCCTCTGCCTCCTGGTATTCATGCGGCTCTCTCCTGGTATTAGTCATTCTAGGTGACACTGATCTTCATTGCACCAGCCTTTCAGATTCCTCCAAGATGGATACCATTTGCTTTACTAGGGTATCTAACCTGTCCCACTGGCGGAGTGTCATTTGGATGGTAGACTTGCTTACCAGTGGAGAGGCCCCATCTGCCCCTTCCCTTTTGACCTGGAAGGAAATGGGAAAAGCAAATCTGTACATGGATGCCTCATGTGACCTTTTTAGCTGTCAGCTTCTCATTAGGATAGAACTTTTGTTACTTGTTTTTCAGCAACTTTTCAGAGAAGGAAATCTGTATAGAAACCCATTTCGTTATCAGATAACGGTAGATAGTTCAAGATCCTCCTGTAGTAGACGATTCATGATCATTATAACTGCATGCCAATGGTGATCCTTTCTAGGGTTTTTTTTAGTTAGAGGATACACAGAAGTGGTTTACCATTCCTTTCTTCTGGGGGTGCCCTGTGACTGACTATGCAGCTTGCCCAAGGCCACACGGGTTGACTCTACTCAGAGGAGGCACAGTGTGAAATCAAACTCCCAGTCTCTGGCTCCACTGAGCTATCAGATGACATCTAATATGATTTCTTTCAGAGGAAATGCTGGCTGTAAAATATGCACTGTGGTGGTCTCCAAATGGACAGAATTTGGCATATTTACAGTTCAATGATACTGAAATACCAGTTATTGAATATGCATATTATGGTGAGGATCAATATCCCAGAAAAATAACTATTCCATATCCAAAGGTAAGTTCTTTGCTTCAGTTTCTTTTTTATTTGACGAAGTTTTTCGAAACAGATTTTATTGTATATTACTATAGAGGTGCTTGGATTTCTTATATTACTAAGTAAACTTTAATGCTTTATGTAAAACTGAAAATTGGCTTAAGCACTGTATATTTTGAAAATAACACAATAAAGGATCCAACCCATATTCCTGGACCTGAGTAGCCCTCCCATTAGTAAAACAGATTCCAGGTGGTTTGAGAAAGAAGGAAGAGTTGGGATCTTTTTTGTTACATGCCAGCTGATTATTTCCAAATTATAGTAAGCCTTTGAATTAGTAACCTCCAAAAGATCTGTGTAAAATGCTCACATTTTTGGAGTACTGTGCTGAAATAATTTTAATAAGTCATTTCCAAGTTTTAAGAGCATTCCATACAGGATGGAGAAAGAGGAGGGGACTGGATGATTCTGTCAAATATTTTTAAAGTAAAATGTTGGATAGGGGCTTCTGTTCCAAATTAATCATACTGTTATATATTTTCTTATTTATTGTCTATAATTTTAGTTGATGGATATTAACCTGCTGTAAATCTGGTAAGCATAGGTGGGAAACCTTTGACCGGTCAGATATTTTAGCCTTCAAGTCCAAAAAACCCTTATTTATGGTCATAGTAAGTGATTCTGCTGGGAACACTAGGGCAAAATATTGGTGGGACAGAATTGCCCTAGACCCATTTTAAGGGTGACACCCTTTAATGAGGAGAGAGACCTCTTCCCTGGTATTTTGGAATTCTGCACCCATAGTGCCATGCTATTAGTTTTACTGATTGGGAATAATAGGAGTTTCAATGAACATTTAAATTTTCTTGATACCAACAGAATGTTTGTTAATCTCTCTCTCTCTCTCTCTCTCTCTCTCTCTCTCTCTCTCACTCTCTGTGTGTGTGTGTGTGTGAGAGAGAGAGAGAGAGAGAGAGAATGTTGCTTCTTACTGAATGTGGCCTTCGAATTCAAGTTGGGGCCTGCCTTTTAGCTGTGGAGTAGCCCCATACAGTTTGATGCCTTGAAACTCATTAGAACCTTGGAGCAATAAGAAATTTCCCATACCAGATCAGAGAGCATAGTGTTTCTCTTTTTAAAAGCATGATGGAGAAACAGCAGTGGCATTATGGTACCGTTGTGTACAAGACAGAACAGAAGCACATTGGACAAATGCAAAAACTGTTTCATCTGGTATATCTGCAAACTGACACCATGGGGAAAAAACTAATGATATTTAATTAAGATGCTTCTGTTTTGTTTTTTTTAAATATCTAAAGAAAATTCTCCAGAGATCACTATGAGTCATGTGTTGATATTTTCTCTTTCAAGGCTGGGGCTAAAAATCCTACAGTTAAAGTGTTTGTTACAGACACTACTAACCCGGAACGTTTAGGTCCTAAGGAAATACCTGCTCCAGCTATGATAGCATCAAGGTATGGCCCCCTGAGATTCCAAATTTCTCCTAACCTTTTTTATTTGACCAATATAATATTGTTTTAAAGGACTTTACTTGAGATTTTTATTTCCTGAAGTGAGAAAAAAGTGGTGGATCTTACCTAACTTCCCAAGCACTGATTTTATTCCAGCCAGAGAGAGAGAGAAGAAAGCATAGATCTACCAACCCCCCCCTTTTCCCCTTGGAACCCATGCCTCAGAAAAGGGAGGGGGATTATGTCCAAAAGATATGATTATCACATCCTTAAAAATATTAGTGTTCCAGACAGCTGATGTCAGTAGATCTTTGTGCCTGAACAATCATGCTATCAAATAAATCCCATGTTAACTCCTGAAAAACAATTAAAACAAAGCAAGTTGATCTGAAAACTTCAGGAGCTGTGAAAAGCTCCTTGTGTGCCAATCTGAGGTTCTAAGCAATTTTCTCTTCTAATGATGTTCTATCTATGATGTATCATTTGGCCCTTAGCTATTCCAGCTCCTGTCTAAGCTAAAGGCTCCTTCCCCCATTGGAATGCCTCATTTGAAGGCTACCATTGCCAGTAGATTAAAATTTACACCCATTGAGCTTTCTGAAGTCATGGCAGACAGACAAACAGACAGACATGTACACATGCACAGTAGGTTAGAATTGATCTTATGAGATCTGAAGTCTCATAAATGTTTTATTAATGTGATAGGAGTTTGACACTGTTTTAAATGACCCTTTTCTCCTGTTCCTTTCAGTGACCACTATGTGACTTGGATTACATGGGTAACAGATAGCCGGATCTGTGTGCAATGGCTGAAAAGGATCCAGAACTTCTCTGTCTCAGCCATCTGTGATTACAGTGAACGCTCCAGGTCCTGGAAATGCCCAGAGGTATTATTCTATCACAAAGCTAACACTTCAAATAAAAGTTGTGGAAGTTAACTTCTGCCAACTACTGCTGAACATTGACTTTTATCGTATTGGTCCTGTGCAAAAAGGGAACATTAGTGGGTTGGATTCAAGGCTCTGTGAATGGCAATCCAATTACAGAATTTTATTTGTTTTACTGACTTATTAGGTGCTTAGATTAATCGCTCTCTATACACAGATCCTGCTTTCTTCCATTCAGCTCGGAGTGGGATCATAGCTCTTCCAGCTTCTTCCTCTTCACTTTATTCCTGCACTAGCCCTGTCAGCTAGATCAGGCTAGGAGTGAGTGGTCCAAAACCACCCAGTGAATTTTGCTTCACAATGGTGACTATAGTCTACATCCAGCACATTTTTAACCCTTTACACCTCACAGAGTGCTTCCAAGATTCATTAATAAGGGCCAGGAAGTGATTTTGTCTAATTTTCCCTCTCACCTCCAGCCCCTAACCTCCCCCAATACTTTGAAGCCATGTTTCTCAGTTTTTGGAATCCCATGCCCCACATCATTCTATCAAATGATACATAGGCCTTCTATTATAATATTTCTCATTCACGTTGTCGTCATTTAGCCGTGTCCGACTCTTTGTGACCCCATGGACCAGAGCACGCCAGGCCCTCCTATCCTCCACTGCCTCCCAGAATTGTGTCAGATTCATGTTGGTCACTTCAGTGACACTGTCCGACCATCTCATCCTCTGTCGTCCCCTTCTCCTCTTGCCTTCACACTTTCTCACATCAAAGTCTTTTCCAAGGAGTCTTCTGTTCTCATGAGATGGCCAAAGTATTCGATCCTCAGCTTCAGGATCTGTCCTTCCAGTGAGCACTCAGGTTTGATTTCCTTTAAAATTGATAGGTTTGTTCTCCTTGCAGTCCAGGGGACTGTCAAGAGCCTCCTCCAGCACCACAATTCAAAAGCATCAATTATTCGGCGGTCAGCTTTCTTTATGGTCCAGCTCTCACTTCCATACATCACTACAGGAAAAACCATCGCTTTGACTATGCGGACTTTTGTTGGCAAGGGGATATCTCTGCTTTTTAAGATGCTGTCAAGGTTTGCCATCGCTTTCCTCCCAAAAAGCAGCCGTCTTTTAATTTCGTGGCTGCTGTCTCCATCTGCAGTGATCAGGGAGCCCAAGAAAATAAAATCTGTCACTGCCTCGATACCTTCCCCTTCTATTTCCCAGGAGGTGATGGGACTGGTGGCCATGATCTTAGTGTTTTTGATGTTGAGCTTCAGACTGTTTTTTGCACTCTCCTCTTTCACCCTCATTACGAGGTTCTTTAATTTCTCCTCACTTTCTGCCATCAGAGTGGTATCCTCTGCATATTGGAGGTTGTTTATATTTCTTCCAGCATTTTTAATTCCAGCTTGGGATTCATCCAGTCCTGATGTATTCTGCATATAAATTAAATTAGTAGGGAGACAATATACAGCCTTGTCGTACTCCTTTCCCAATTTTGAACCAATCAGTTGTTCTCATTCACAGAGACCCACTAAGCTCCCACAGTTATCACTAACATGTGAAAAGATGGGTAATCTGTGACAGAAAAAGCTGGGAGAAGTGGCACATTGAGAGAGAAAGAGAGAGAGAGAGAGAGAGGATTTTTAGTGAAAACTCTGGGTCTCACATAGAGTCTGTGTTTCACCAATGTGGAGAACCTCGCCCTTCCGAGACTCTTTGGAAGCATATGAGATGCAGTGTTGAGTTGTAGGGCTAAGGATGAATGGATGAATATTGCCTCTCCCTGCTTATCTGAGCAGGGGCTGCTGCTGAAACAAAGATGCACTGGATCCCTAACATCCCTTCTTATTTGCACTATATTTTCAAAGACACTTTAATTTTGAAACAAGAAAAAAACCCTCACATTTACCATCCTTGTGAATGGGGATCCCTGTGAACGGGATCTCCCCCATTCACCATCCCTGCGAATGGGAAGATGTTGACTCCTTGACTCTCTGCTAACTTTGGAGCAAAAAAATAAAAATAAAAAATAAAAATCAGTATTCCTAAAATTTTCTCACACCTTTTGTGAAAGTGTTCCAGTGTTCAAGCATTTGTTTGGGGAAATCTGCTCCAGGGGCTCAAGGAACAAAAGAAAGCCAACCAAGCAAACCCACTTTCTTCTTCTCTACTTGCAAATTTTCCTTCTGTTGACAGCATCCCAGAGAAACTGAAGGCCTCTCTGCACCAGCCAGAGCTCCCCACTTCTTAATTTTTCTCTTATTGCCTTGACCCATTTATGTGGTTACTGCACTTGATCTTTCCCCTCTTATTTTGACTGCTTGTTGGCAGAGGCCCTGTTAAATCACGTGGGACACAGAGATGGGTTTCATGCTGCTTTATTAGAAATAAGGATGAGGGGATAAATTTATTTGGCTTTGCATTTTGTAGCACCTTACCTAATTCACATGTCCCAAACCATATAGCTAATCCACTTGCACTAGCAATTTTCTAAATTTTGGAAATCTGATACATCATTCCAAATTTTGTGAGTAAAAATGCATACATTTTGGGGAAATTGTGCAGAAAGATCCAAACATGAGTGAAAGCAACGTACAAAAATACATTCTATGAGGGGAAATCACATGCAAAAGGCACATATTAGGAAAAATGAAAGTAATGATTTGTTATATAATTTCCTAAAGTGGATATGGAGTACATATCTTAGGAAAGATATGGAAAAATGTATACATGAGAAAAAATTAAAATTTATGTGGAATTAAATTTCATAAAATTTAGATGAAATTAAAATTAATATGAATTTCATGTGGACTGTTTATAAACTATGCAGACAGATACGGAAATGGGACGAAACAAACGGAAGGTTGAGAGAATGAGAAAATGAACAAACTTAAAACTGGGAGATTTATCTATTTTAATTGGAAATGTATGATGCTAGAATTTCCTCTTGAAGCCGAGATGTTTCACTACACTTGATATGAGAATGGTCAGCATCCTGGCAACGTCAGGTTCTATAAACAGTAATAATTGTACTCCTCAGCATCTCCTTACCGGATGAGAATTGTTGTTGAAATATCTATCATATTCTGCTTAGAAAATGCTTTTATTACATCAGTGTGTGCCCCAGTGAATAGTTAACAGAAGTGAGAGCAGATGGGAGGACTCCATTAAGCTGTGTTTGCTCAAAAGATCTCTATAGGAATATATTTCCGTCTTTCACCTTTTCTTTCCAATTAAACCGGAAGCAATAATAGGCAATAAATGCAGAATACTTCATATATTGAGACATAATAAAAATGCAGCAGTTAAATAATGCCAGGTGATGTCTTCCTGCAACTCCTGAGGTGTGTGCTGGGTTCACATCATCAAATATGTCTCGGTGGATAAAATTTAAAAATGAGGAAGAATTTGCATGGTGGATGGAAAGGTCTCTGGGTTTATCAATATATTTTCCTGCTTTATCAAAGCATCTCAGCTGGGATTTGCTTATAGAAATTAAATGAAGGACAAGCTTGTGTGTCTGTCTGTGTGTGTGGTTTTTATTTGGACTAAGCTGTAGCTATACTTAATTTTATGCAAAGCCATCCCTTCAATAGATTGGTAGATGTTTTACAACGAAGAGCATTAGAGCAAGGGTAGGCAAGGTTTGAGAGTCTGAGGGAGCTCCATCCCTCACCATGAACTACACCGCACCTAGAAATGGACAGAAGTTGTCCAAACAAGCAAACAAGAAATGCTTAGCAGATCTTTCCACATTCCTTCTGGAAGGCTAGAGTGAGGGGATCTTGGGATCTTGACTTACGAACGGCCCGAGTTACGAACATTTTGACTTAAGAACCACTCTCATAGGAAAATATTGACTTGACTTACGTACTTAGATTTGAGTTACGAACTGAAAAAAACCACATGGGAGGCAGGGAAAGTGCAAAATGTGAACTTCCAGTTAACTGTTGGCCAGTGAAAAGGGGGCCTGTCTGCTTCCTCACTCCTCCCAGCGTTTAGAGAGTGGATTGGGAGACAGTCTTCGGACTGCCTGGGACTGTACTGCCTGGACTGTATTTTCCCTGCCTTCCCTGAACCTTTCTTGACCTAAGCAAAAAAGAAACAAAATATCCCCCTCTAGTGGTCGAAGGCAGAATAGCAGCTTCCCATTAGTTTCTATGGACGGAAAAGAGCACATACGGATCAAATGGTTTTCAATGCATTCCTATGGGAAATGCAGATTTGACCTGAGAACTTTTTGACTTGAGAACTGCCTTCCAATATGGATTAAGTTCTCAAGTCAAGACCCCACTGTACAGGGCCAAGAAGAAAAAGGGCTACTTCAATTCTTTTTTATTACAGCTTTGGGGGTTCTAGAGTAGATCTGGGAGCCGTAAAAATGCCTCTGGAGATTCACGTGGTTCACAGGCTGCACTTTGTCCACCTCTGCATTAGAAGAAACATTAATGCACTTTCCTCATTGTCTCGTATGTCATCCAGCAGTAACACAAATCATTGCTCTGATTATTGGTGGTTGTGATTGAGAGAAACCCGGAGAAACATTTTTACCCTTTTGCCAGGAAATTGTGTTGTCCAAGCAGGAAGTAGAAAAACTTTACCACTTCCTCCCCCCCATTCCCGTACCATATTTGCAGATTTTCTACATCACAAAATCTGCTCAGTGAGATTGGGGAGGGAAGGTCTTACCATGAGGCCCTTTCAGAGCCCCCCCTCCCTATACCAGCAAGCATCCCCCTCTCTCTTAATCACTTTATTTCTGTCTAGAAATGAGGGTGGGTGGGGCGAGGTAGGCTTCCTACCAGAGAACAATGAAGCAGGTCTCAGTGATGCACCTCTGCTGAATATTGAGTGGATACCATTGTGTAACAAACCGCACAAGGTACTGACCGCTCAAATTCCAGTTGCTACAAAAGAGGCACCCAGTATTGATGGCCATATCTGGCAGACACACTGATTGAAAGGAAATACTGAAAAAAATGAAAAGGTTAACATTAGTTTATTGTTATTTATGCAAATTGGTTTAAAATGGATTATCTCTTATGGAGATAATAAAAAGGATGACTTTTTAATAGCTGAAATGGGTCTAATTTTGAACACCTGAGACTCCCTATTGTTGTGGTTCTTGTCACTCTCAATAGTTTTCACACTGTTCTATTGGCTCATTGGCTGGCCTTACTGCATAGTTGTATAAATTTGTCCTTGTTCATTTATTTAGTTGTTTGTTCCCTTTTTATCCTGCCTTTCATCCAGTGAGCTTAAGGTATCTACCTCAGTCTCTTCCTCTCCACCTTTTTCCTCACAACAACAAAAGAATGTGAAATGGCCAAAGCTCACCCAGTGAGTTTGTGAGCAGAGATCTCTAACCACCATCCCATCCTGGCTCTACAGTTTTGAGTACATACTGTATGGAATGTCATCCATTATATATTGTTGCCTCTCTGTTTGCACACTAGACTCTTATTTATACACAGACCAGGTTGTAGATGCTTCTTTCAAAGATGGTTGTATGTTGGTCAGCTTTAATTATTTTGTAATAAAGACTAACAGGCTACTTTTAACAGCGACAGAAATAAAGGATCCAGGGCAAGAGCATGAATAGCTGTGGCAAGCCCTTAGCGGCTATGTGAGGATGCTGTTTGTTGATCCCCAGATTGACAGTGTTTTGTTTTCCTGTCAAAAGATACAAAGCCTGCTTAGCTCCCTGACCATCGTCAATTTGAATCCAGACTAGTGGCAGTAAATATCATGTGTTCAGTGGAACAGTACTTAGCCCCGACAGAAGGCATGATCTCAACTGTTGATGAGATGCAACAATATGGATTTTTAATATGGAAAGTACTTCCTTCGGAGAACAAATTGACAGAAAACATTTCGCGGGGCTCCAGACCATGAAGCAATGTTTCATCAATACTGCTAAAATAATTCTGAAAGTAAATAAGTTAGTGTTTTATATAAGTCGGCTGTTGGCAGCATGTTCAATCATAACCCTTTAATCTTCAATTTCCATTTAGCAACCAGGGGGGAAAAGTATAATCCCTACTTTAATTTAACAGTCTGGTTGTATATTAAAATGTGAAATCATAGACCAGGGTCAAAAGCAGATGGCAGTTTTTTTTTTTAAGTATCAGTGTAATCTCACTGATGTATGCTAGTATACTTGCAGGCTTTGAACAATAGATTCTGTTCAGATATTCATGAGTGAAAACAGAAGTAACAGTTTGATAATAGTGTAGCCATGTTGGAAGTGTGCTCACATGTCATCAGTAAGGATGAGATGGTGCCTGCCTTGCGCAAAAGCCAGGCTGGTCACTGAATCTTTCTGTAACCCAGTGATAGGACAGCATCCTTTGCTGTACATGAACGAGGGCATCTGTTTAGCTGGGAAGGGACAGGCAGCGCTTGGTAAAACTGGCATCTGACATTAATGCTTTAACGGTGAACTGGACGTGTTGACAGTTTGGCAGAAACTGTAAAACTAATTGGTTGTGTTAATGGTGTTATTTTTCAGTTTTAAAAATAAATTACAATAATTTAAAAATGGCCCAAAATGGCTGCCTCTGTTGCCCCACTAAATACTGTGAAATGGTAAACACCGGTTAGCACATTAATGGCACTGTTGTTATAATGGTTAAAAGACCAATTTCCAAAAATTGCTGTTAAAAATATGACCCAATTAGGAGAGATGAGTTTGTTTTTATTCCAAGCTTTGGATGCAGGTGAGGCCACACGGCAGTCTGGAGAACTCTCTCAGTTTCACTTCTCCCAGATTCTGCTTTTTAATATGTCAGGGTTTTCCCCCTTCATTTCATCAAAGAAGAAATCGGGTAGTAACAGAAACAAAAGCAAAATCTCAATGGAAATATTACCCGTCTATCTAGTTTCATCCAGTTAGTATGCATTCTGAAATAGAAAGGACCATCTTGTGCCTTTCTGTCATTTAGCTGTTAAAAACAAGGAGGCTGTCAGATAAAATAGGCAATTTAGCGCTGCAAACATTGGTGAGATTCAGGCCCAGACTAAGACCTAAGCACTCAAAACATCCTCTCGGGATGAATGAATCTGTCAATTTCATTTTCTCCTGCAATTGATTTAAAAGAAATCAAATCTTTTCCATGGTATTTGTAAAGAAATTTGTGAATGTAAGTTCTTCTTTAAAAAGGAAAAAAGAAAAGTACTGAAAAAAATTATCACATATCCTGACATAGTGCACATAATTATATCTTCCAGTACTTTGATAGTTTTCTTCACTCCCTTGATACACATCATCTGAGGTGACTTCAATACACTGCCCTAACAATCCACTTTTAAATATTAGCAATAATAACCCAGGATGTTTTGCAAGTATGGAGCAAGTCCAGCTTTGCAGGGCGTTGATTAGCTGCCTTTTTAGTTATGTACACATTGGTGCCAAGAGGGAAAGTATCCTCAAAATTCAGATAATCTGTACACAGCCACTGGATTGATTGATTGATTGATTGATTGATTGATTGATTGATTGATTGATTGATTTATTTATTTATTTATTTATTTATTTATTTATATCCCGCCTATCTGGTCGGTTAAGACCACTCTAGGCGGCTAGGATCATGACTTACCCTTTTAAAAAGCTTTAATTATTAATATTATTAATATTTCTTGGTGAAAGAAACATTAATAATTAAAGATACCATCTTACTGGCAGAAAGCAGCAATGACCTGAAATGACTGTTCATGAAAGTGGAAGAAAAAAGTTCAAATGCAGGATTACAAGATGAACATTAAGAAGACAAAAATAATGATTACAGAAGAAACATAAATTTGACGTTGACAATGAAGAAAATTGAAATAGCTAAAGATTTTGCATACCTTAGTTCAGACATCAAATAAAAACTGCAGCCAAGAAATCAGAAGAAGACTGAGTCTTGAAAGGAGAGCTACAGTATGAAGGAACTAGAGAGGATCATCAAGTGTTTAGATGTGTCACTGGACACCAAGACATCCACATCGTTGAGTGATGTCTCTGCTTTTTAAGATGCTGTCTAGGTTTGTCATCACTTTCCTTCCAAGAAGCAGGTGTCTTTTAATTTCTTGGCTGCTGTCACCATCTGCAGTGATCATTGAGCCCAAGAAAGTAAAATCTGTCACTGCCTCCATATCTGCCCCTTCTATTTGCCAGGAGGTGATGGGACCAGTGGCCATGATCTTCGTTTTTTTTTTGATGTTGAGTTTCAGGCCATTTTTTGCACTCTCCTCTTTCACCCTCATTACGAGGTTCCTTAATTCCTCCTCATTTTCTGCTATCAGAGTGGTATCAACTGCATATCAGAGGTTGTTGATATTTCTTCCGGCAATCTTAATTCTGGTTTGGGTTTCTTCCAGTCCAGCCTTCCGCATGATGTATTCTGCATATAAGTTAAATAAGCTGGGGGACAATATACAGCCTTGTCGTACTCCTTTCCCAATTTTGAACCAATCAATTGTTCCATAGCCAGTTCTAACTGTTGCTTCCTGTCCCACATATGGATGGCGTACACTGACAGAAATACCAAGAAGTGAATTCAAAAACAAGCCTGAACTTTCTCTAGAAGCAAAAATGACAAAACAGGCAGTGGTACTTTGGGCACATTGTGAGAAGACAAGACTCGCTGGGAAAAGTTGCAGGCAGCAGGAAAAGAAGACCAAATATGAGATGGAAGCCACAACCTTGAGTTTGCAAGAATCGAGGAGGGCTATTAATGACAGGACAGTTTGGAGATTGCGCATGTGTAAGGTCACTATAAGTCTGAAGTGACCTGATGGCATATAGCAACAATATACTGGAGACAGCTAGCCCTGCGTTGTGGTAGCATATGTTTTAGTGAGTAATTAACACCCACTAGAAAAGCCATGGTAGAGATGAAAATGTTGAAAACTGGCTCGACTTATCTGGATCATTATGTTTAGATTGCCCTTGGGATGTTTGATTTTAGGGACTGTCATAGCGAGGACATGCAGTTCAAAATTTACCACTACACCCACAGTAAAGGAGAGGAAGTCCCTCTGGTCCTCTGTGAGGAGATGTGTATGGTGACGCAGTCAATGTCTAAACCAACCACTTGTTTAATTTAAAAATGTAACCTTTGACATAGAGATCTGCCATACTCTCTGACCACCTTGACTTGTTTAATTTTACAGAATCGGCAGCATGTAGAAGAGAGCCACACAGGATGGGCCGGTGGAGTATGGTTTCTTTTATCTTTAAACATTGTATTTAAAAAGTAATACTGTAATACTTCGCCCTGGATTTAGATGACTTTTGGTTTTTTCATGGTTGTTAATAAGCACACTGGCACTAATTCCATTCAAAACCCATTTTTGTTTACTTGTAGCAAGCACAGATGGTCTTTTACCAAATAAATTGAAGTTTCATTTAAGGAGGGGAAAAACAGCAGTGGGAGTAGAAAGGATATATTTGCATGTTGTGATCAGGAAAACAGAAATATTCAGGAGAGTAATAGTCTTTCAAATAAATTCAGTGTTAGTCTCAGTTAAAGAAAGCCAATGGAAATGAATGAGACTTTGTAATCACCACTTATAGAAGTCTCATTTATTTCAATTGATGTTCTTTGCCTGTATATTGTTACTGATCAATATTGTGCTTGTTTTGAAGTGCCCCTGAAAGGGTCAAAGAGGTATCTCCATCAGTTTTTGATAATTTAATATAAATATTGTCATTGAGCCAACAGGAATAATGACAAGCTGTCTATAGCAGGTAGTTATGTCCTTCACAAAGTACACACTTCAGACAGCATTTTATTTTAAAGACACTATGGCCAAAATCCTCTTGTGTGACTAAGTAAATGGCATAACTTTTGCAACTGAATTGCTCCCAAGTAAGAAATCACCAGAGACATTATCAGCTACATGTGGGGCCATACACCTCAGTATGTAACTGATAATGTCTACCGTGATTTCTTAACTTGGTGTAACTCACCTCCAAAAGTTATGCCATTTTTGCTACACAATTGTAACTAGGTAAAAGGATTTGGATATTTGACGCATTCTATAAAAGAAGACTTAAATTTTTAACTGAAAATTATCCTAATATGACAAAAAATATTCCATTCTTTGGCATATGAAAAAGTAAGTTGAACAGATCACATTGCCAATCTAACTTGTACATTTGTTTTTATGGATGCAGAGATATGCATTTCTGTTTCATCTATAATTTCTAATTTTTATGTCCCAGTTCTTTGTTTCGGCACCTTCTTTCACTTCAGATGGCATTTCATACTACAAGATTTTTAGCGACAAGGATGGTTACAAACATATTCATTACATCAAAGACTCAGTGGTATGTCAGATTTAAGCCACAGTTTACCTATATTGCAGTGCAATGTGTTCCTAGTAAAAATATCTGACTTTAAATGTGTTGTTTTTATAGGAAAAAGCAACCCAAATCACTAGTGGAAAGTGGGAGGCCATATACATTTACAAAATAACGGACAATGCAATGTAAGCATTCTATAAAGAACAGTATGTTGGTTGTATCACTTGTCATTTTAAAAAAATTACACTTCATACAATAATGCTTTTTCCATTTGCCTTACTGTTGAACCCTATTTTCAAAGTCCAGCTTCTGAGAACCTTTCCACATGATAAAATAAAATGGATTCCCCTTAGTGGTCATCATCTGGAAAGTTCTTGATGTAGAGTTAAGCTTATGCTCTATATCAGGTCTTCATAGTTCCCTGATACATTTTATATTGAAGAATACAATATAAACAGAAGTGAAATTGCAAGGTGAGCCATTGTTCAGGTTTATGTGAAGGGAGGTATTAGAAGATGTGAAGGTTTGTAGAAGTAGAACAAAATTTAGGTGTGTGTGCAAAACAGATTCGATAAAGCAAGAAATAGCCAAATGAAGATTGAGGATGCAATGGAGTACACTGGAAGAAGAGATGGGTGTGACTACACAGCAGGAAAAATGAGAAGAGATCTGTTGTGAAGTCACGCACAGGAATCAGGTTTCCCTGTGTGATTTTGCTTCAGCTGACCCCACAGGAGTCTGGAGGGAGAGAAAAGGAAATTGGTAATCTGCCGTGTTTGCAAGCCTGTTAAGGTACTTTTGCAGTGTCCCTACCTTGCAAAACTGTTGAAGCAGCAAAGAGCTACATTAACAATTTCCTCCATTCTTTCCGCTTACTCTTCCCTCTTTTTTCTTTTGCTCTCCAGTTGCTCCAGCACCTGCTCTAAGCCTGTGAGTGCCTCTTTTCTTCCTCTCTCCCCATCTTGAACTAGGAAGTCAGGAGAGCCAAGGTCTGGTTGTCCATTCAGCATCAGCTCAACTGATCACACCAGTTGAACTGATGGGAATGCATTCATCTGGAAAAAAAAAGTAGAAGCCCCAGCAGTAGCAGATGGGGGACTCTGGGCTGATTCATTATGGTTTCTATGTCATGTCATCAATATAAAATAGTACATAGTAGACCATCCCAACACCGGAGCAATTCTTATATTAATTGTCAATGTAGTTGGCTAGCTGGAAGCCAGGTAAGAACATTTTGTTGCAAATCCCACATACAAGAGGTTTAACAACAAAACAACATCTTACAATATAATTTGCCTCCTTCTGTTAATGTATGATTTATTTGATGCCATAAATTGCCTTCCAGATTCTATTCCAGCAATGAATTTGAAGGCTATCCAGGAAGAAGAAACATTTACAGGTTGGTTACCGTTATTGTTTGCTTCTGAGACAGGGTGCTGATTACAATGCATCCATGGATAAAACCCACCAAGGTGTAGTACTCATCAAGAGGAACCATGGAAACATCACACCCTGTTGCTCTGGGTTATTTACTACTGATAGGAACTGCCATCTTCTTTTCCATGCACAGATATACCATTGGATTGTACCCAAAGCAGCCTGCCCCTCAGTAGAATAAAAACTCTTACTGGTCTAGAATTCCCCAAAATGGCAAAGGCCAGCACCGCTAGGCTTTCCCTGAAATGTCCTGATTGTGCTTCAAAGGTGCACTGAGATCCTACAGAGCATCAGTGAGGCCAAACTGGAATGATCCATGCTCCAGCAGATGAACTGGCTGGTTATCCTACAAAGCACTCCAGAGTCTTTGCTACCACAAAGTTTACATGGCAGGCCAGTTCTTGTGGAATTGATTTCTTAGAATGAGTGAGTTTTTGAACACCACACCACACTGAAGACAACTCTGCACAGGGAGACACAGTGTGTTGGGCATGTGTGCAAGGATGTTTGTATGAAACTTTGCCATGTGTAACATTATCAGCTGTGGTGCCTTTACAGACCAAGGCCATGCTATGGCTGCTATGGACATATTGCTGTCACCTTTCCCGATAGTGAAAGGATGTGGGTGGCAGTCTGTGTTCTGCCAGCTACCCTGTGGGTTGAACAGCCTAGTTATTTTACAGATGAAGGCACAAAGATGCATTTTATATAGCATTTACAGGCAAATGGAAAATAAAGACAAGGCAATTGTGAAGAAAAGATACTTGCTCACGAAGTATAAATCAACGGCCTCTTTCTGTCAGGGGCCACTGTTTTTGGGAAAAGGTCATCAAAGGCTGATTGCCAATTGTGGATTGAGCTGAAACCAGAGGTGGATGGGACCAGTGTGAAGCCTTTTTCTCTGATTCTCTTGCCTCCATTCAGATGCCATTTCTCTCTCTTCTTCCCCTCACATTCCCCCCCAAGATGGTAGGGTGTGGTAGGGGAGAGATTGCTCCTGCCATGTGTCCCGACTCATCCTTTTCATTGGGATTTCAAAATTGTGCTGCCCATCCTTGGAGTAAGCATGAAGTGAAAACAAGATGTATCAGCTTAGGGAGCAACTCACTATGTTAACTAATTACAGCATCAATGGCAAACAGTGTTGGCTCCCTGACCAGAGCTACCCAAAATGCCAAATTTGGTAATCATTGTGTGCTTTGATAGTGGATTAGTGTCTCTGTCAGTTCCACTGACAGCTATTCTTCACTGATGCTGTCATCCATGTGTCCTAGCCATAAGATTGACATATCTCCCAGGTTTGTCTTAATAACTTTTTATAACTTCTCTTAGTTGATTTAAACAATACTACTGCTACCCTATGAGCTTGTAAGAAGAGCCTCATGGCACAGTGGTTAAACTGCAGTACTGCAGCCAAAACTCAGCTCACAACCTGAATTAATCCCAGCTAGATGGTTCAAGGTTCACTCAGCCTTCCATCCTTCCAAGGTCGATAAATTGTATATCCAGCTCGCTGGGGAGAGCAATGTGTAGCCTGCATAATTAAATTGTAAATTGCCCAGAGAGTGACTTAAGCTATAAGTAACACACTTCCCTTCCTTCCTTCCTTCCTTCCTTCCTTCCTTCCTTCCTTCCTTCCTTCCTTCCTTCCTTCCTTCCTTCCTTTTTGGTCCTTATGATATATTACCTAAGCAAGTTCTATTCTGTCTTTCTGTGGCTGACACATATAAGCATTGCACACAAGCAAAGTCTTTACTGTACCTTTATTCTCCATCACATTCTGGATGGTAATGCTTGAGCCTCTCCCCATTGTTTTACAGAATTGACCTTAGCAATGATCCTGTAACAAAACAATGCATCACTTGCCATTTAAGAGAAGAAAGATGCCAGTACTATGGTGCAAGATTCAGCTACACTGCGGAGTATTATGCCTTAATCTGCTATGGTACGTCAAACATGTGGAGGAATGAAAATCCTAACTGTGTTCTTGCACTCTCACTGGGTATTTTTTATTTTTTTTGCTTGAAACAGCTTAGTATCTACACATAAACTTTGTGTGTAGATTGCTTTTCTAAGAAAATGGCTATAATCAAACACTTATGTATTCCACCTTGAATAACACCCAACTGCATCTGATTACAGAAGCTAAGCATGATCTGCCCTGGTTAATACTTAAAAGGGAGACCACTAAGGACTATCTGAGATCACGAGGTAGTGCAACAAAAGAATCTTGCACTGATGATCTGTTTATTTATTTGATTTATACCCCGCCTATCTGGGCTACCAGTCCACTCTTTTTGCTTTTTTTTTTTTTTTGCTCAGTGTTGGCAAATGGGATATTGTAGGTAGATAAATAGATTTTTTTTAAAAAAATTCATGGACTACAGATCCCATACTTCTCCATCCTGGGAGTTCTATCTGATAGACACCTAAATGTGGCTCTCCTGGGAGAAAGGCACTGAAGCTTAATGAGGCCTCATTCCATCCATGTATCTTCTTCCTGCCCCAGTGCTTGCTGCGAGTTTTTCTTTCTGCACAAGATATTAGATATTAGATATTATTAGGGATATAGGCATACTTAATCCTTAAAGCCTTTCAGTTGATACCATTTGTTCATGTGACTGCATTTTGCTATCTGTAAGATGTCTATCAGATAGAAATCTCAGAAAGGAGAATTAGCAAGATTTGTAGTCCAAGAAATAAAAAAAAGAAAAAGAAAACACTACATTCCTAGAATACAGTAAATTGACTCGTATAAAACCAACCCCCTGTGTTCTTATTCTTCTTGTTAGAAATTGTGTGGCCCACAGATTGTAGGCAGTGTTAATGCCCCCATGGTGTGCTCTCAAATTCCAAGGTATGGCACCCCCCTCTTCCCACTTGGATAAAGGATTGTCCATTATCCTGCTTAGCAGATCTTAGCATAGGGAGTTTTAAGTTGATACTAGCTGTGGGAATTGTTATTTTATTGAAACAATCAAAAAGCATTCCAGGATCTCTATTACAGGAAATGAATTCCACTGAAGAAGCAAGTTTATTCATATGAAGGTATATCTGACAGTATCGGAAAACAGAATTTTAAAAGTCCATTTGGCATACAATAGATTGTGCAGATGAAAGATAAAATTACAGTTCTGGGTGTGCATAGTTTGGCAGATTAATATGGGATGTATGAAACTGCTTGTAAATCAGAGTTATTGCCATTAAGTACTTAGGTGTAGTATTCTTCTGGGTTCTTTCTCGAGAAAACAGGCCTCCTCAGATCAATGCTTTATGATCTGTACAGGATGCTCATGCGTGCAAATAATAGAGTCCCCCGCTAAGCACAGAAGCAAACATAACTAAATGATAACACCTTTCAATCATTCTTGCTAAGGATGTGTTTGCACAGGAGATCTGCTCACCTTGAGAAATGAGTTGCGACAACTTCTCAAGATCCTGTTTGTGCTTGGTTAATTCTAGGCTCAGGTTATGTAACTTCTAGCTGGGCATCACTTCATTTGCAAGAACGGAGAACAGTTTGTAATGTGTAAAGGTTAACATGTCTAGCTTTGAGAAGCAGAATTACCGGCATTTGTGTCATGCAGAGCCCTCAGTATTGTACACGCCTACACTGAACATGGTATTTAGTCAATACCACTGTGCATTGTGTCATTAGTCAACACCATCACAGACATGGCATTCACATTGTTCAAACAAGAGGCAAGTCCTTCATCCAAGATGCCTCTAATTTCACAGAAGGGGGAAAAAAAGTTAGATGATGAGGAAATACAGTCAGAAAACTACTTCTGGTGAGAAGGCAAGTGTGAGAGAGTCCATCTGAGCACCAAGTACTTAACAGAAACATATAGTTGTTGCAGGGGACCCCTAAACACCATGAAGAGTGTGGTGGTGGGGTTTTAAGTGTTCCTCCATGTCACCAAAAAGTGCTGTCAAACAATGCTGCTGTCTGCATGCATGCGGGGAGTCTTGGCGGGTGCCAGTGGAGACTTTCCCCCAGTGCAAATGACATCTTCAAGGCAGTTGCTTTCTTCTGGCCCCTGGTGTGTGCATGGGAAAAATTACATCCTCCCTCCCTGTTATCTCAGTGTTCTTCCTTCCCTGGAGGAAGGGGTGTCTCCTGCAGCTGCTACTTTTAGCTGTTTCCCCACACACACACACACATACAAGCCAGTCGCAGTCACACAATGAACGTTGCATTTTATTCTGTCATAAGAGCTCACTAGAGTAAAGCCACCTCAAGGCTACAAAATTTATATTTTGCCCATGACAGATAACAAAACCCATGAGAGAGTGATCCCTGAATAGAAGGATGCACAGATGAAACAAAGCGACTGATCCTCTCCACGATTACTCAGCGTAGTCCTATTTGCCTTCCACCCTTAGTCGGAGCCTGAAGCATTCTGGAAAGATAGTTTTTAAGCATTCTGAACCCAGAAAAATCAAAATTGCAAGTGGCTACATCAGGCCACTTCCTGTGAGCAGAGTTCTGCTTACAGAACTAAAATGGTTAGCCATCCCTTTCTTATGGCAGCAAGCTCCCCTTCCCCCACTAGATCAAAGTACTCTTTTCTTGTGCAAGCCCTTATTAGGGTCCATTGCCACCCTAACACATATTCTTTAGCCTATTATGGGCTCTAAAAGGTTGAGCTCATGACAGCAAGTTTTATGAAGACCACATATACCTCAGCAACAAAATTCATGGGTTTCAGCATTAGTAATTACAAGTTTGTGTTTCTGTAGATTGTACAATGTAATTGATTTTTTTAAAAAATCCAACCTTCGTTACAGGTCCTGGCATTCCAATTTCTACCATTTATGAAAACAGATATGACAGAGGTACCTTTTACTATGCATATTTGTTTGTTAATGATTCAAGTTTAACATTGCATATGCACTCACTTTGCTATGCTACGTGCTGTCAGATAGGTTCTGATTTATGCCGAGGGTTTTCCAAGTTATGAGGTATTAAAGGAGTGATTTAACTGGTGCAACATCCTAGTGAGTTTTCATGGTGTAGCAGGGATTTGAATCCAGGTCTCTGGAGTTGTAGACCAACAACACTCTATCCACTACACCCCACTGGCTCTAGTGGAAGGATTGCTCAAGTTGAGAGATAAAATAGATGGCACTAAAGAACCTTTTAAAGCACGAACCAGTATGAGGTATTAAAGGAATGATTTAACTGGTGCAACATCCTAGTGAGTTTTCATGGTGTAGCAGGGATTTGAATCCAGGTCTCTGGAGTTGTAGACCAACAACACTCTATCCACTACACCCCACTGGCTCTAGTGGAAGGATTGCTCAAGTTGAGAGATAAAATAGATGGCACTAAAGAACCTTTTAAAGCACGAACCAGTCCAACTTCTCCTGTGTGGATGTGCCTATAGTCAGTGGTAAGACTCTTATTTTCAACCTTTTAAAGCATGAACCGGTCCACTTCAACTTCTCCTATGTGGATGTGCCTATAGTCAGTGGTAAGACTCTTATTTTCACTGCTACAGACTAACAAGAGCATTTCTCTGGAATCTTCCCCTACTTCCATATGTTATCTCTCTCACGGAGGTGTCCTTGACTACCCTTTTTTGAGCCGCTATGTTCTCCACAGACAGAAAGCCAGAGGGGTATGTTTCTTTGCATGTAAACTATCTAGCATGACCCTGTCTGCAAAACTAAGTCAGTTTTTATTTCACAAGAACAGACTCTTCTGTAAGATTGCTGGCATTTCCTGTTCATGATGAATCCGGAAATCGTTTTGCTGTTTCATCACCAGGAAGCCGTTTCCCCAAGAGCAACATATTGGGGCTTGGGGGAGGGAGACAGAAAGTTTTTCATTCTGACTTTAATTTAGACATGTCTGTTATAACAGTGGTCCCCAACCTTCGGCCTTCACAAGAACAGACTCTTCTGTAAGATTGCTGGCATTTCCTGTTCATGATGAATCCGGAAATCGTTTTGCTGTTTCATCACCAGGAAGCCGTTTCCCCAAGAGCAACATATTGGGGCTTGGGGGAGGGAGACAGAAAGTTTTTCATTCTGACTTTAATTTAGACATGTCTGTTATAACAGTGGTCCCCAACCTTCGGCCTCCAGATGTTCAGGGAGGGAGACAGAAAGTTTTTCATTCTGCCTTTAATTTAGACATGTCTCTTATAAGGTGTGCTTTGCTGTTTACAGGTCTGTGTATCAGGTGCCAGCTCACTTTAAACATACATACTGAGGAGAAACAATCAGTGATGAACCTACTGATTTAAAGCGATTCAAATGAATGAGTACTGTGTGCAATTTTGTAGGCTTTTTTTGAGAAAGAGCCTATTTGACACAGGGACATCTGAGTGAAGCTAACCAATGATAAATTAATTGGCTACCTTCAAATCTAAGAGTATAGGTCCACCCTTCCCAACCTGGTGCTGCCAATGTATTGACTACCTCTAAACAAAGCCAGCATGGTCAATGGTCATGCTGGTTGGGAATTAGAATGATAGTCTAACACAGTGGTTCTTAACCTTTTTGAAAGAAATGCCCCCTTGAGCCATTGAGGAAGTTATCATCGCCCCCCTCCCTGAGGTGATATCTTTCTTACCTACCTACCTACCTACCTACCTACCTACCTACCTACCTACCTACCTACCTACCTACCTACCTACCTACCTACCTACCTACCTACCTACCTACCTACCTACCTACCTACCTACCTACCTACCTACCTACCTACCTACCTACCTACCTACCTACCTACCTACCTACCTACCTACCTACCTACCTACCTACCTACCTACCTACCTACCTACCTACCTACCTACCTACCTACCTACCTACCTACCTACCTACCTACCTACCTACCTACCTACCTACCTACCTACCTACCTACCTACCTACCTACCTACCTACCTACCTACCTACCTACCTACCTACCTACCTACCTACCTACCTACCTACCTACCTACGGGGGGCATTATTGCCCACGTTAAGAACCACTGGTCTAACACATCTACAAGATGTAAGGTCAAGGAGAGCTGCCACAGGTACTTGATATGATGTCTTCTTTCAACGCTACTCACTTCTTTCAGCAGTGGTATGCATTTTGTCCATTTGCTATCTGTGCTCCAGAAAGGTTCTGATAAAATCAAGCAGGCTGCATCTCAGCACAGCCCCATGCCTCATCATAATTTTGATGAGGCTTAGCCTCAGACATATTTTTCTATCATCCCCTCTGCCAAAAAAGAACACTTAGTTCCTGTTAAAGCCACAGAGCTATTTGCTAATTCGACAGCAACGGCAATGCTATCTTCATGTCTAATCCTGGCTTTGAGAAATTTGAAGTTACATTTTTATGTGTCTCACCACAGAATGAGTAAACAACAAGGAATCATTGAATTGCTACCTACTGTGGGTTTTGTTCCTCTATTTGTTTTTAAAACGACAGAAATTAAAGTCTTAGAAGACAACAGAAATTTGGAAACTGCTCTACAGAAAATCAGAATGCCTACAGAAAAAACTAGCAAACTTGAAGTGGATGGCATTAGTAAGTGCATTACGCTTTCAGTTTTCCTTACCACAGAAAATCACTGTTGCCTGTGTCACTTCTGGTAACATAGTCACATCCCACATGTTACAGTGTGGAGTACTATTCACATCTCCAAAAGGATGTTCTAGAGTTGGTGGAAGTGCAGAAAAGAACAACCAAAACGATTAGGGGCTTGAGGAACTCTTTTATGAGGGGAAGTTACATGTGAGGCTTTTTAGTTTAGAATAATGGTGACTAAGCTTAGAGGGACATGATAGATGTTTGTGAAATTCTGACTATAATAACTCCCTCATAATATTTGGGGTAATCCAGTGAAATTTATTTAATTTTAGTTATTAAAAATATGTTTAGACCACCTTTTGTTGTTGTTATATGCTGTCAAGTAATTTCAGATTTATGGCAACCCTAACAGGATTTTCAGGTTGTATAAGTTGTTGAAGAAATGTTTTACCCTTACCAATCCTTGGGGAGTTTTCACGGTTAAGCAGGTGTTTGAAACCAGCTCTGTAAAGTTTTTCAACACTCAGTCCACTACACCACAGCCACTTTTAGGGCACATAAATTTTGCAAGATGGCTCTCAGTAAAGATGGCTTCATTATTAAAAACAGCCAGCAGCAAGAGTCAAACAGACAGTCCTCTTCAACAAATATCAAAGCCAAAAAATTAAATAAATCTGTTTTTATCAAAACCATTAGTAGTCACACCTGGGACACAACTCAGAAGAACGTGATAGAAAACATAGTTAGCCTTGAAGGCTTTACTGAAATCCTGTAGTTGTGGGGCTTAATGGATTTTAACTGTTTTCCAGAGATAATAAACCCTTACAGCACGGCAAATGGTTCCTGATAAACCTCTTGACACAATGCAGAATTAAGTATATAGAGTTTGCTACCACCAACTACAATGAGAGCCATTGCCTTAGGTGGTGTTAAAAGGGAACAGAGAAATACACGAAGCGGGATGGGCCAGTCATTGCCTTTCTTGTCATGACGGCTACCAGTAATGATATTCAGGTTTTTAAAAAGTGGATTTTACATCCTTCCTCTCAGTAGCAGGGATTCAACAATGGGAAAGGACTATGGCGTTTATTGTCCTGCTTCTGGTATTCCCAGAAAGGTTAGATTGGGCACTCTGAGAAGCAGGGAATTGGACCGAAGAGGCCTCAGACCTGTTGAGTAGGATCTGCTGTGATCATTGACTTGGACCGAGTGGTTCCAAACCCACTTGCACAATGGACCATAGGGCAACGGGTTTGGCATTCTAGGCCCCCAGATGTGAAGATATCCAAGATCGCATCCCACAAGTGGAACAACGTAAGCAGATGCTCTGGATCTTGGTCGTTATCCCATCACAGCCCTCTGGCTTTTGAGGTTGCCAAGGGAGGGAGCTTCGTGAGGAAGTGGGAAATGCCACTTCCTCATTCTGTTGAGGAAACTTGTTCTGTCATTTGGAAGAGTTACTTTATAATTTTCTCTCTTTTTAGCCTTATGGTACAAGATGATTCTACCGCCACAGTTTGATAGATCTCAGAAGTATCCTCTTCTCATACAGGTGTATGTAATTTTTTTCTTTAGTTTTCTTTCCATCCCTTTAAAACACATCCTTGTTTTCTCAGGTGTCACTTGATACTTACTGCCAAATGCCTTTTTATAACACGGTAGTAAAACAAGACAGTAAACAAAATAGGGGCAAGAGAAGATATCCTTCAGAAATATTCCAGTGGCCTTCCAGATGATGCATTTGTTCTCCATAACATATCTGATACATCATTGATGCTGTTTTCTCTACCATTGTCCATATGACATTCTCCTTCTCTTAGTTAGTGAAGTGATATTTTCTGTGAGCTTCCTTGCTCTCTTGTCTGTCTTGAAGCTATAGTTTAGTTACAGCAGTGGTTCCCAACCTTGGGTGCCCAGATGTTCTTGGACTATGACTCCCAGAAATCCTGGCCAGAACAGCTAGTGGTGAAAAGGCTTCTGTAAGTTTTAGTTCAAGAACCTGAAGACCTGAAGACCCGAGACTGGGAGCCTCTGATTTACAGTATCATTTTATTATGCTGGTGGAGTTTAGCACTGTGGACCTTTCCTTGACGTACATTGCTGTGGGCAGAGCTTCATCTTCTCCCATTCAGAGGTTTTCAGTAAGCTTTTAACATGCATACACACAGAGAGCTGTAGAAAAACCTCTGCCAAGGAAATGAATTTTTAACATTCAAGGTGATTTCCTGAAGAGAAGATGTTTTCAGAGAAGCGGCTTTTTATAATTAAGTTGGAGATCTGCTCCTTTGCAACCAATCAGGAGAAAAGGAATTGGAACTTTTGCCCCATCTAGAACAGCCTTCAAATTTTCTTTATTCATCTCTAAAAGATCAAACTGTTCAACTACCTCTTCCTCACATAAATCTCTTTATGACACCTTAATTTGGTGTTCAAGGGATGCACTTAGTTAAAAAAAATCATCCTCATCCAGTTTTGATTTCCAACAAAACCGAGAGCTCATTGTGTTAGAAAATGGAAGATGAACGAATTGTCTCGAGGTATTGCTTCACAGCACTAACATGTGCAAACAAAAATGAAAGGAACTAGATTGTGTTCCTGGATCATTTTGATTGCTGAGGAGCCTTCAGAGACAAAAATGAAGGTAGCTTGATCATGATCCTTGAGATAAGAACTTCCATTATTTTATATTGCAAATGCTCTGCATTTAAGTGGTTTTGACATGTTTTGCTCTGAAAGGGGTGGTGGTGGTGTTTTGCGCTCCATAATGCTGAATCTGAAATTCTACGCATATTATCCTAGGTATGGAGGACCTTGTAGTCAAAATGTTAAAGACACTTTTGGCATTACCTGGCTCACTTACCTTGCAAGCAAGGAAGATATTGTGGTGGCCCTTGTGGATGGCAGGGGAACAGCTTACCAAGGTGACAAGATGTTGCACGCTGTCTATCGAAAACTTGGGGTTTATGAAGTTGATGATCAAATTTCTGCTGTAAGGTAAGAATTAGCTGTCCATTCTCTAATGTAGACTGTAGGCCTTCTAGGAGTAAATCACATGTAGCCCTGTAATCTATATAATGTTGATGCTAGACAAATGTCACATGAAGGAGTAGTCAGTCACAACCCCATTGATAAATTCAGAGATAAATAAATTCCATGGTTCTTCTAATAATCATTTTAGAGGGGGAAAGAGAAATATCTGGTGGCAGCGAAGAAGAAAGAGGAGTGAGAACCTCATGAAGGCCTGCGGGGATAGGGACTTCAAGGGGAATCGCGACAGTGGCCGTTAAAGGTCACCAACAGATTGGATGGTTCAAATCATAAAGATGAGTTATACTGACAAACATCTGTATGTAATATTTCCATGCTTCAGATAACTTCATCTGAAGGGGTTATGCAGACACATGCATAATGTAATAAGTTCCTTTATTGAAAACAAATGGGAACAGCACAAAAATTCATCTTGAAAGACTAAACTCTGTGGCTGAATATTAGCAAAGAAGGAACCAAAGGGGGTAGTTCTTTGTTATAAATTCTAGATGAATCAGGTTAATCTGATTACAGCAAAAACAACATCAAAGTCTTGCTGCGTCATAAATATTAGTGTATTCTGTCATATATTTTTTTGAGGAAAAAGATGCTAAAATCTTGCCTACAGAAGCAGCTCAAATGAGAATCCAAAGTTGTATTTGGTATCTTTAGTTTCTTTTTATGGTCTCAAGTACTATTGACCTATTGGACAGATTCTTTGTGGAATCCTTGAAAAGACTGGTTTCAGAAGTCTTATAACCACCAGTGCCTTGAAGTATGAAAAGCGATGCCACTATGAGAGAGAGAACTATGTTAGTGTGGAAAATTATTGGATGCTCTGTACATGTGCTCTTATTGGGCAGCCTCTCTCATCTATGACTCAGGATGAGTGCATACTGTAAATTTCATTCTGAGTGGCAAAGCCAAGTAAAGAATCTCCAAACACTTCCTTCTCTACACCCATGTGTCTGATAACACGGTATCGATGCAGATTCTCCCTTATCTTTCCCACTCTGCTTTAGCTTATTGACTCTTCCATTTCCACCTTGCATCACGATTGAGGTGGCTTTTAACTTTGCCTTTTAAAAAAGCAAAGATTGACATAGATTAAATATTTTACTGTCTTGACCGTCTTATCAGCAGCACTTGTTTATTTTTCTTCTCTACAGTGTAACACTGACACTGCTTGCATTATAGGAACCATAAAAGTGATATAGATAGATTCTGTGAAGTGTTCAGAGACAAGAGAAGTCACCAGGGATGGACAGAACAGCTGGCTGCTGGTCCATGTCAATTTCTTATAGCCATTAAGCTTATTGTATTTTCTTTCTTTTTACATCAATCTGTAGTTCTTTTTAGAAGTACATCAAAATTACTATAATTTTTCGTACACATTTGAACAGAAAATATGCAGTTGTATAGATATTTTGGTACATTTTCAAGAAGAGTAATGTATTTAAGAATTTGACGAAATATAAAACGGGATAGTTAATACGTATTAATACATGTGATCCATGTATTAATCTGTGAAGTACTGGAGGCTTTGCTTAATTACAAATATGGATTCCCTGAACTTTCCTGAACATTGCTAAAGGTCCATCAGCTATTGCAGATAAACATCAAGTCATTCTTACATTGCTGTCCACTGGGAGATGTCTGGACACATTTGAAGATGTATCTGCAAACACTGTCCCTTCCAAGTTGGAAATCAGCACTGGGAGATGTCTGGATACATTTGAAAATGTATCTGCAAACACTGTCCCTTCCAAGTGAAGGTCTGAACCTTGTCTACAATTTGTTTAGAAATTGGAAAGGTTATCCCCCCCTTTTTTTTTTGGACTCCAACTCCCATAATCTTCTATGGAGCACAATTTGTGTCCATGTAACGTTGGGGCATTCTGAGAGATGTTGTCCAAAAGAATACCTCTTCATAGCTCTAATTTCTGTGTAGTCACAGAAATGTGCAGTCACTGTATGCAGTGGTCTTGGCATGCCAGGTCTGGAGCTGCAAGGAAGAGCTAAAATAAAAATGCAAAATCTGAGATGAAAACCTCTGCAGTAAGAGAAGTGATATACTCAGTATTCCTGTTAGCACAGTGGTTCCCAATCTTGGGTCCCCAGATGTTCTTGGACTAGAACTCCTCAAAAATTCTGTTTAGTAGGGAAAGCTTCTGGGAGTTTTAGTCTAAAAAACATAAGGGGACACAAGTTTGGGGACCACTGCATTAGCAGTTCAGGTCATGATGAAACCTGGTCTGAGCTTCCACTGGTCATGATCGTTCTGGGTGTATGGGGTGGGTGGGTGGTAGTGGTGGTAAGAAGATCCTTACCAAAATTAATGTACTGCTCATGAGATTCCTAATGTCAAAATTAGCTTGTTTGCTTTCTTTGCCATTGGGCTTCCCCTCGTTCTCTTGCATTACTGTACCAACCAAAGCTGTCGCCCATGGATTGCAAAACTCCACTTGACCTGCTTATTGTAGATTTCTATGATTCCCCCTTTTGCCCGGATCTGAGCCACTCTTTCAATCCATTGCCTCTGGCTGAAATGCAAGATTAAGTTGATTAAGTCCATTGAATCAAAGCAACTTTTTTTGTTCCAGGATTAAGTCCACAGAACCAATGAAATTTACAGAGGAGTTGACTCATCACATCCCCAATGATTGAATGGGCCTAATCTAGTTGCGACCTACCATTAGATTTCAGTCCACAGTAGATTTTATTGCAGTTGTCCTGATCTACTTATTTTTTTATTTTTCACAGGATTGCTTGTCGGTTTTAAGAAACGATACCAGGCCAGGTCTCCTTAGGGCAGTCACTACATGTTTGGTTGCCAAAGTGCAAATAGAAACAAACAAACAAACATACAAACAAACAAACAACCCCACAACCATGCTCATCTGAACACTCTGCTTACTGTACCTTTAGTGCCCAGCATCCTGACTTCCAATCAGGTTCCCCAATAACATTAATTCTCATTAAGCTGCCAACCATCTCACTTTTGTGAGCTCTTAACTAGGTACGGTCAGGCTGTTTTTGGTTTCTCTGCTCTTTGTAGAGTTACAGTGGTGTGGGGTGCTTCCTCCTTGTCAGTCACATTTGTACCCTACCTTTGTCCGAGTTGTCATAGTCTTCCGCCACTCTTCACATGCAGGTTGGCTGGGAGATGCTGATTTGCCCACAGATGCCGATCTGAACTTGTATTTCCCAAACTTTCAAGATTGATAATGTGGCCTAGGTTTCCTCAACCTGCTACTCTCCAGATGTGTTGGACTACAGCTTCCATCATCCAAAGCTAGCATGGCCTGTGGGGAAGACTATTGCAACTGCCCCCCCGTGCTGGATGCTGGTGTTTTTGTTATCAGGAAATCCCCCGTTTGAATCTCACTTCAGCCCTGAATTCATTAATTGTCCTTAGGGAAGAAATCTAGTTAATAAGCTAGGATTGTAAACCACAGTTTGACCTTTTGGGGGGGGGGGTTAACTTGGAATGTAAGAAGGAGTTCTGGTTAATATCAAGTCAAGGGTGGAAGTTTTCAGTTTCCTCCTGTGGTGTGCACTGAAGAAGAGGACAGGAGAAGCAAAGACTTGTTAACAGAATATTAAAGTATACTTTAGAAAAGTTACTTTTGTGGACTATAAATCCAAGAATTCTTTTCTGACCTCTAGTTTAAAGTTGTGGTTGAGATGTTCCATAGTGCTCTGGGTTTCCCCCCTCAAAAAATATAAACCCATCTAGTGTTGAGTAGGAATGTAAGAACTAACTACAACAATTTTCTTTTCTTTTTTTCTTTTTGCATTTAAAAAGTAGATTCTTACTGGAATTGCAGGATTATCAGGGGGAAAAGTGCACATTTTTGAACTAACAAGACCTTTTTTCTTCAATTTCAAACAGAAAGTTTATAGAGATGGGATTCATTGATGAAAAAAGAATAGCCATATGGGGCTGGGTATGTATGTATACTTTAAAATATATATTCATAAAACTGGGTTTCCAGATTATTCCATGACGGTAACACCAAAAGAACGAACACGAGCAATTGCATCAGTGTTCTGGAGCCAGCCAGTATTCACCTTGTCCAAGTTACTTTTTTTGGATGACAGCTTTCAGAATGCCCAGGTAGCATGACCTGTGGCTATGCAGGCTGAAGTATTCTGGGAGCTGTCATCACAGACACACACACAAAAAGTAATTTTCCCCATTTGTCATTTTCTTCTTATGATTCTGCACCAGATTTCTCAGTAGCCCTATAAGGCAGTCACCTAATTGGACAAACTCTTGAATTCATTGTGGGCACATAAGCCTTGTTCCCCATGTGTCCCCACTATCCAGAAGCCAACAGGTTTCTTTTTAATGTTGAGTGCAAAGAACCAAAGAGATCTCTGTTTGCGTGCTCATCTGATCACCCTTACAAAATTTCCATGGTTGGGAATCCAGAAAGGCAAGGATCCTGATGGCGAGAGCACCTACTGATGCCTCTTCAAACCTTCCCACTCAATGACCAAGGACTGTCACCTTACTGACTTCTGAATATATGTGAATGTTGAGAGGCGGGGCTTACATACAAACCTGTAGAGTTAGCCCTTCAATGAGCTAAATCATTGAACCAAGTTACTGTTCGGATCAGTGGGTAAGGGAGCAGAACCTTCCCTTCACCAAGATCTTTGACTGAAGACAGTTTTGGAAGTGTAGGAAGAACAGTCGTCCAACAAGATACAGTATGTAGCTGAGAAGCTTGCAGACTAACTGGGATGCTAGCCAGCATTTAATTGACATGCTCAGTTACGGTTGTTTGTTTATAAGTGTTACTTCATCTTGGATCAATTATTGCTCAAAATGGGTTCCAGGCACACTCTCCCATCAGTGGTGTACTAGTGCCAGAGAAAGGTCTCTTAGCTTATTGCTAGCAGTTCATTTTGCTCAGTTCCACCTTGGCCTGGCTTCCCATATGAGAAGATCTCAAAACACAACACAGGGCAGATTCCAAAATCAAGTCATTTAAAACAGAATAAATTAGCTTGTTTTTTTAAAAAAAATCAGACTAATACTTCTTGGGTAAATTCTTAAATTTAACTTTAAACGAAAAAAACTTTTGACTTTTGACCCAAAGTTGCTATAGCTACACACAAGCAGCTGCCTCAGGGTGTGATTAAATGACGTTATGGAGAATATATTTGGATGTTGGGCTTAATATCAGGAAAAGATGTGTGTCTACATATGCTGAAATTGCTAAGCCCACCCAGTCCCAAGAGTTGTCGGCAGGTAGCACAAACTGTGCATGAAAAAACACAGTTCTTCTTGAAAAGCCTTGCAGATGACCGTATTTTTCCGTGTATAAGATTATACTTTTATCTAAAATCTTTAGATTAAAAATTGATGGTTGTCTTATACACGGAAGTAAGCTGAGGAGAGAACAAAAACAAGTGGAGGGGAAAGCAGGGATCAAAGTGATCCTGCAGCGCTTTGATCCCCTTCCCCCTACACTTGCTAAGTCCCAATTATTTTTCTTCATTTTGGATTAGAAAAGTCTTATACATGGGGGCGTCCTATACATGGAAAATACCGTAATTGTTTCTCTTATGACCAAGGTTGATGTTTGCATAGAAAAGCTTTCCCCTTGATCCCTATTTCTTCTGACTTCTTTTTTCCTTCTAGGGCTTAATGCTCTATGGCAGCTAGATCATCCTTGGCCACTAATGCAGCAGTCATAGTAACGCATGCAGTGGCCAGAGCTTACAACCTGTATTTTTTTGGATTTTGACTCCCAGAATTCTAGTCAATATGGCCATCCTGGCTGAGATCTCTTGAGGGGTATAGGCCAAAAAAGTATAGTATTTTTCCATGTGTAAAAGGACACTTTTTTCCTAAAATAATGAAAGGAAAAATTGAGGGTCATTTTATACTCAGACATAAGGAGGGGAGGGATCAAAATGCTTTGATCCCTGCTTTCCCCCTCCACGTTTTGCAACAAAAATGTAGGGGGAAAGCAGAAACCATTTTCCCCCTCCATTTTCTTTGCAAAACGTGGAGGGGAAATGCTGCTTTTTGCAATGAAAATATAGGGGAAAAGCAGGAATCGCTTTCTCCCTCCACTTCTTGCAAAGAAAGAAATTTTGGGTTTGAAAAGGGGGCCATCTTATACATGGGGACGTCTTATACATGGAAAAATAAAATATCTTTTTCAAACTCTGGTTTTGCTGTTATCACCCAGAATCTGGAAAACCCTTTTGACTACAACTCCTAGGATCCCCAAGCCATCTGAGGATTCTGGGCACTGTAGTCCAAAAATGATAACTTTCCATAGCCCTAAAACAAAAGGTAGCCATGTGGGTAAATTAAAATTTAAAAAAAAAATGCAAAAATAGGCAATACCTTTATAGACGACTAAAAAAATTATCATACAATCCCATAGCTCTGTTATAACCATGAAACTATTTGGCTGTTGCTAGCTAGAACAAGTGTTTTTTCCCCCTTCTTCTTCTCTCCTTTGTTTTAACAGGCTGTTCAGTTTTTGAGTCCCAGCTTCTAACATGTCTGTTGCTTTCCTGTTCCTTAAGCTCCTTAATGGTGAAGGAGGAACTGTTTCTTGCGGCCTCCTACAAGGCACAGGGTGGAATCTTTAATGATTTTAAAGGCTGCCAAGGCTTTGGTGTTCCACTGTCTGTCTGCTCAAGCTGCACGCATTTCTTTCTGCTGCATCAGAGATTTCTCCAGATGTACTTTTCATCACCCTCCCAGGACAGCTTTGGGTACTGAAATTAACCATATTCATCTCCATGAGCCAAACAATGTTATGCTTTTCCCATAGTCTCTGGTATCTTTCTCAGGATTTGAATTGGTACAGGATCATGAAGAATCCTGGATATTATTGCATGGAGGTGGCGGGGGCCGGGGGGGGGAAACGATGGACAAGCAAATAGATGGATCTCATCTTCTCCAATAAGGGTGCAACTCCTTTGACAAATAACGTGGGAAAGGCTCAGCAAATGGGACATTTGAATTATTTTCTGTTGACTGTCTGAGGTACAAAAAAAGAGTGAGGAATAGGAGAGAGGGGAGGAAGTTTTAAGGTTGCTCTGTGTGCCCAACCTGATTTGCAGGAAGCACAGCTAGAGCAAACCTGCCTGAAAACGTCCTCCTATCCGTCTCCCATCTCCTTGCTCTCTCCCCCCCCCCAACCTTGGTTGGTCAGCTGCCCTAGTGGCAAGGCAGGAAGCCAAAGAAAGCAAGAAGTTCCAGGGAAGTCCCTTCTCTCTACTGACTTCTGTGGGGCTGGCTGAAGTGAACTAACCCAAATTAACCCAGGGAAACCCATCTTTCTAGGTGCACTGCCACAGCAGATCAATCCCCATTTTCCCCACTGTGTAGCCACACTTTGAGTCAGTGTCTACTCATTTTTAGCAGAGAGCAAACACTTTTTAGCTTTTTTGGTTTCCATCCTGTGTCGATTCCCAAAGGGGTAGCTGTGTTATATCAGAGATTACAAAAGCTACTTTTCTTGATTACATAACCAGAACTCCCCCAGCCTGTGTGGCCAGGAGATTTTGTGAGTTTTTGTCCATAATAGTAGTTTTTTTCATGCTCCTTCTCTCTCAGGAAAAAAAAATCAAGACATTTCCTGTGGTGCTTTAAAATTCTTGGTAACACAAGCCTTCATAGACTATAGCTCTTTCCATTCAGATGCCTGGAGTGTTATCCAGGTACCCATATACAATACACATATGTTAGGTGGGTGGGACTGTACAGTGCACTCAGATGGAAGCTAAATGTAGGAGGTAAAGACAGTGACAATTACATTGGCCATTCAGATAACTGTTGATAAGTCAATGGACACATGGGGTATGGTAGGAATTGGTTATCCCAATAGGCTGAATTGTGTTTCCTTCATTGACCGTTGCATTCTCTGAATCTTGTGCTACACAATCTACTTCCTGGCTTTTCTTAACTACCAGCCCATTTGTCTCCTTTGGGTTCCAGCTATGAACTCACACTCCTTTATTCCTTCCCAACCCCTCTGAGTTCCACCCGGCCGGGGCACAGCGGCAAGTGGGAGACACCCTAGAGTTCTGCTGGCAGGCAGCTAAGCCTTCACTACAGTGGGTGGGATTGAGAAGTGAGGAATTACATAACTGTGTGGGATGACTGGTGCTTGTTCCATTACATGACTTGAGGTCTCTGAGCAAAGACACTGAACACTCATGATCCAAGTCTTTATTTAGACACAATGCACCAGAATTTCTGTCATTTACCCTGTGATTTATTTGCTGGGGTCCTGTTGAGATGACACTTGGCTGAGGAGTCAAAGAGAGGGATGGCTCCCTATAGCTGTTTACAGGTGCACCCTTATCCTGTGCATGCTTACCTAAGAATAAATCCCATTCCATGCAACAGCCACTATGTGCAAGTGACTGTGCAGGGTATGGTAGCTGTACGGTCGTTATCACCCTTTGCGAGGTTATTCAAGAGTAGGTTCTGCCATTTTCCATGATGTTTACTCCTAGTTTGCAGCCTTACAAGAGAAGTCTGTGCCTATCTACTCAGAGGTTGTTTCCCACTGACTCAAGTGGGACTTTCTTGCAAGGTAGCAGTGGAGAGGAATGTATATTTAGTTACAACCATTGGAAGGAAATGTAAAGACTCGACTGATAGTCCCCTTATATCACACACGTGCACAGGCAAATATGTGGGGAGGAATGGGACGTACACGCAAAACCTTCTGTTTCGGATTGCTGGTGACTATTGCTCAGGACCCCCTGCATTGCTCCGTTTTTTAATAATACCCTGCTCTGGAACAACTGAATCTCAATAATAATCAAGAGTTTTGATCATGCCATAATCTTTGGGTCCTCCCAGCCATGACCTTAAATGGAGTCCTTCCCTTGGATTCTTTCCCTCCGTGATGCTATTTCTCCAACTTGCCTCCATTCCCTTCCCTTCATCTGTTCTCACCTCCTCCAGTTTAAATTTAGACAGTAGCAATGGGGCAATGGTATCTCCTTTTTACTTGCTAAAGTGGTTTTGGCTGCTTGGTAAGGAGTTGTTGTTTGATGGTATCTCCTTTTTACTTACGTTGCTTGCTAAAGTGGTTTTTGGCTGCTTGGTAAGGAGTTGTTGTTTTTATTGATGTGTTTTTAAGTGTGTTTTAATCCATTTTTAATGTTTTAATTATATTTGCTTGTATTTGAATGAATCATCTTAGTGCTAGCTGTTTGAGTGCTGGAGGAAAGGCAGAAAGGAAGGGAATACATCGATACATCTGCATTATTTTCAGGGCCATGTACATACGGACGGATATTTGAATGTGCAGCCATCTCTGCTAGTCATTTAAAGCTATGAGCCATGAGCTCTTGGTGAGCAACAATAATACGGCTGGCACAGAGGAGCAAGACAAAGAGAGTCAATGCTGGGGATACATTCAGTCTGAGCATCAAAGCGAGGGCAATGTTTGTGCCTGTTTACCCCAAGTGACACCGAGAGGTATCCAAATTGAATCGGCTGTGGGCACTGTGGCATCATTCCATCCACTATACAATTCCTGATCGGCAGGGTGGTGCTGCAAAGAAGCCCACCACTACCTCAAAGTGGCCCCAGAGGAGCAACACAGATTCCACCGACACTCTGAAGCCCACTGCGTTGCCTGAAAGTAACGCTTGGTGCAACCGTTCCCACGGTTGCCATGGAGGCTCACCAGTCATGCCACCCAAGGCAGGAATAATTTTACTTCATCTCTGCCAAGGGTGGGCAACAAATGGTTTGTGGGCACATATGTCCATGCATCCTGTGTTCAGTGCTGCTAATGCTGTAGCAGTTTTTGCAGCACATCCCTTCTCCTTCATTAGAGAAGTCAAGGAAACACTTGGGCTTGCAGACGGTCAAAGCTGTGCCCGAGTGCACTGCTATAGTTGCCACTGAATTTCAAACTCAGTGGTGGCTTACAGAGCACTGGTGGTGGCAGGACACCATGCTTAATATGGCATGCATCTGTGTTGTTGCTATTGTTTCTGCAATGGTCTACTGCAGTGGTCCCCAACCTTTTTGGAACTGTGGACCGGTTGGAGGTGGGCGGGCTCTGTGCATGGGGGGCGGGGTACCCCCGCGCTCACAGGTGGGCGTGTTGCACTCACAGGTGGTGTGTCTCGCATGCACAACATGCCCCCTGTGAGTGTGACCGCCCACTGTGGGGGGGGGCAGAGATTTGTCTCCACGACCCTGTCCTGGGAAGCCCACAGACTGGCACCGGGCCATTGGTCTGGGGGTTGGGGACCCCTGGTCTACTGAACCACTGGTTGTACTCTTTACAGATCTTGCACAAGGGGTTAGAGAACCTAGTGGTGCAGTGGTTAAACTGCAGTAATGCATTCAGAACTCTTTTCACGACCTGAATACAATCCCAGGTAGCTGGCTCAAGATTGACTCAGCCTTCCATCTTTCTGAGGTTGGTAAACGGAGTACGCATCTTGCGGTACTCAATGTGCATAATTGAATTGCAAACCACCCAGAGAGTGCTTTAAGTGCTAAAAGCAAAACACTTTACTTGTTTTGCTTTTTTGTTCACTAGCCAGCTGTGCGAGTGGCCACTCCTGTTTCTTTCAATGCCACGCTCTCCACTTGTGATATGGCAAGCCAGAAACCATATGGGGCATCACTGAGCAGACCATTTCACTTTGCCCATTCCTAACAGGACATAAGTATCTTTTAAGTCTCTGAGGGAACCTTCTAGTATTGTGCTTGTCACCACATGGGTGAAACAAGGTGAGTTCCACACCCTGTGGAAGAACAAAAGTGCTGGATCAGACCGAAAGCTTGCCCTGCCAAGTCTTGTGATCCCACACTGGCCAGCCATGTGCCTGTTGGAAGCCCGTGATCAGGACACACAGGCAAAGCCACCCCCCCCCCAGTCCTGATAATATGGTCTAGGATCCTGGAGGGAATATAGAGCCATCGTTACGGTCAGCCATTGATAGCCTTTTCCTCAATGAATGTATTTAATCCTTTTTTAAAGCTGTCCCAGTTGATGGACATCTCTACACCTTGTGTTTGCAAATTCCACAATTAAACCATGAGTTGTGTGAAGAGGAAGGTCCTGCTTCTCTGTGGAATCTGCTGCTATTTAGCTCCAGTGGATTACCCTGGGTTCTAGCACTGTCAGTGGCTGTTTTTTTTTTAAAAAACAGCAACACTTCTTCTTATCTTGGAGACTCTTTCTGTTAGTTAAAAGCGTACTTCAGAGGAATATTGCTACCGAAAACCTGGGTGTGCCCGGCTTTGCTTCTGAGCCAAACTCATAAAGAACGTTACTAAGCAGTGACTAGAAGCCTCATTTGCTCCTGAGCCTGGCAGAGAATAATTCAGAAAGATGGCTTGGCTTACTTCCTGCCCTTGGTTGCCAAAGCAAATATTTCCTTTGGCTCCAATGTTCTGCTACTTGGATTCTTAGAGAGCAAACACTTGACTGCTGGGTATTAACTTCCCTCCTTTTTCTTTCTAGTCCTATGGTGGCTATGTTGCTTCACTGGCGCTTGGGTCTGGTACAGGAGTGTTTCGATGTGGAATAGCCGTGGCTCCCGTCTCCAGCTGGGAGTATTATGGTATGGAAACACCTGGTAAACACCAGCCCTTGAAAGTGGGGCACAAACAATGAATCCCTTTTGAAAGTAGGTCGTGGCAAGGAGCCGGGCCACTTGCAGGAATTGACAAAGGCACACAGCTTCACCTGAAAATAAATAGTCGGGAAACTTATTTTTAAAAATCCAGCACTATTCCCTTTGCTAGGGCCGTCATGCGGTGATTTGTAGAGGTGCCTAGACACCAAAACAGATATCCTTAAAATGAAAGTCATAGTGAGAAGGATGAAGTTACTGTAATCAAGCAGATATCACTCCATAACACCACTTAGGATATGTTTAGCCTCTCCAACAGTATTAAGGGTAATTGATAGAAGAGGATTAAGCAATTCATTTAGAACAGGAACATGTGGCTCTGGTTGCCTGTTCCAGCTACATAGACCCATAACACCTGGAGGGTACCAGGCAGATAAAAATTCAGCCCATCCCTCTTCAGCAATAAACAGTCACTCTTTGTTCTGGGATGATTCTGGCCATGCAAGATCAAGAACACGGCCCTGGTGATAAAATAGGTTTTTCATGTTGTATGCTGTGAAGTTGGAATCATCTTATAATGGCCCTAATAGAGCTTTCAAGGCGAACAAGATCATTAGGGAATGGTTTTACCAGTTCCAACTCCGCACCAGTGAGTCTTCATGGCCAAGTGGGGATGAAAGAAGAATAAAATAATTGAAAGGAATGAGGAAGAGAACTGACTTAATGGAGGAGGTAAGTTGCACCTACAAAAGAAGTCCTAGAAAAATGGCAAGGAATAATTACAGAGAGAGAGAAGAAGAAGAAGAAGAAAGTAGGTTCATTCTTGGTTCTAACACCACCAGTTGCTTATTGGCAGAAAAGAGAAGATTTCTTACTGGTTTTTTATCCTTTTTCAAGATAAAAAAAAACAATGGGTGGCTAGAAGGATCTTTTGCCATGTAGCTGTGATGGATATGCTTCATTCACAGCTTGCTGGGTTGGATCAAAAATAGCATGTGCACGATTCAAGAATCTAAACTCATGGCATTTGCATCTACTTTGATGTGCGATGAGGATTAACCACATGTAGACATTTCAGGTCCACACCAAGCCATGAAACTCACTAGGTACCTTTGTGCTAGTCACTTTGTCTCAGCACGGCGTAACTTACCCCATTATTGTGAAGTTACAGCGGGGAAAGCCATGTATGCCATCTTGAGCGCATTCAAGGGAGATGGGATATAAATGAGATAAATAAACAACTAGATAAATAAATACTCTTTCCGGTATTCTTTAGGAAGAAAGACTGTATTCAGAAATAAAAATGTGTAGCTGTTAATTAAAATATTTTTAAGTACATGTATTTGTAATAAATTGTCCCATCATGACCTTCTTCTTGAGTTATGAATATGAGACAATGTCTGTGTTGAATGGAAGAAGTGGTTAATGGATTTACCGTCCCTTTGGGGGGGGGGAAGTACACCGGCTGAGTTACATGGTTGTCTCTGGCCTTTTTACAAGCTAGAAAGAGTTTATTTTGGTGGACTTTCGCTGTTTGAGAGGCTGCCAAGCTTAGGATTATGAGTGAAACTCCACCAGTCTCCTCCCATGGCTGGCCCCAAATACTGCTGATGTTTTCACCATATTCTGAGGCAAATATTCCCAGAAGCAAACCAAAATATATACAAAAAAAAGGTACTCTAGCTAGCAGGTAGCTGTGTTAGTCTGTGGTAGCAAAGAGAAAACAGAAGTAATATAGCAGCTATAGTACTGACTAGTTTTTATTTTGTATAAGCGTTCGTGTGTCCATATTGAAAAGGTGTGATTGGACACACGAAAATGTATGAAAAATTAAAAAATGGTTTTATAGATGCAACATGATTTCTGATTTCTATATATAGAAACTAGATATATATATATTCATCAACTATATATATTCATCTTCTTGAAGGAACCATCTCACTGTGGTTGATGGCAGAGCCAGCCCCCAAGGAACCTCAAAATTATGGTGCTATTACCTCATAATTTTCCATGTCTGGTGGCTTGTGCCTAGCGGTAGGTCATAGAGAAAAATATTCTGGATAACCATAACACTTTAAAATTCATTATCCATGCCATGGGAAATCATGGGCCAGTTACATGAATGTTCTTCTGAAGGAGCAAATGTAATGGCATGTCCTAGATTGATACTCTCTTTTGTGTGTATGGAATTGTGCATATTGTGTCAGCCTCATTTACTGTCTATTACAGCATCTCTGTTATACTGTATATTACAGCATCTATCTACACAGAACGATTTATGGGTCTTCCAACAGAGTCAGACAATCTTAAGCATTACAGGGTAAGAACTGTGGGAAATTTCCTGCCTCCTCCCCACCCATCCCCCGCATGCCGCCCATTTAATCTTACCCATTAATTTCGATATCCTCCCCTGACTTTCTTTTCTTGGCTGTTTCCCACTGTTTCTTTCATCGGACTTCATCTCAAATTGATACCTGATGGCAGTTTGGAAAAAGTAGGTGGGAAAAAGAGAGCGCTTTTTTTGGCACTGCTTGTAGGGTCTGAGAGCACAGAGTGCTCAAAATACTTGGACATGGCTCTTTCCTAAACTTGCTTTCAGAACTTCAGTCTCAAAACTAATACCTCGAGAGTCCGTTTTCTTCCATCATCCTTAGGGATACTGTTCCACAAAGTCACACACCTTTTACCTGAATAAGCACGAGCGTGGGAAAAGTCCCTCACACCACTTGCCTTCCATTTACTTTGCATTTTGCAAAGTTGCCATTTTTAAGAGGAAAAGAAATTGGCGGGAAGCTACACACAACTGAGGACCAAACTATGCATACAGCTATCCTGTCCTCAGAAGAAGGAATCCCTTAAGTTCTGGAAATGTCTGATGGTTGTAGCAGTAGCTTTCCATACTTCCTATAACTTAAAAATTACCTTGCTTTGTTTAACTCATGGTCACTGGCAGGGAAGCAGGGGCTTCTTTTACAAGCAGATTGGGCAGTTGTAAATATTCATCAGAATCAGCTTCTAATGACAGGCTGTTGGCAACATAGAGCTTAGCCCTGGGGAGCAGACGCAGGGTGAAGACCTCCCATCCTAAACTCTAACAAATTCGTCCCTGTTGGCTTCAGTAGAATCGTGTCAGATGCTTCCAAGCCATTCTCTGGACCAGTGATGACAGGCTGTTGGCAACACAGAGCTTAGCCCTGGGGAGCAGACACAGGGTGAAGACCTCCCATCCCAAACTCTAACAAATTTGTCCCTGTTGGCTTCAGTAGAATCGTGTCAAATGCTTCCAAGCCATTCTCTGGACTAATATTGCTGCTTACTTGAATGCCATTAGTCTTAAGTAGCTTTATGGCTCCAGTAATTCTCCCTCCGCCCCTGGAAAGACAGATCTGGCAACAAATGTATTCCTAAATGTGTTTAGTGGGTTGGATTCATCTTCCTTTCCATGAGTGGAAGCTTTCTTCAAGCAGGATTGTCCTTAGAATGCTCCAATGGGTGGAAAGGAGGGGTCCTTGCGGATGCCTCTCATCCTTCCATAGCCTCCCGCATCATCTCCCCTGTGTTCCAGAGAGCTCCCCCAAGCTTCCAGTGCACATGTTTGGAGGAGTATCAGCTGCTGTTGGGGATTCTCAAAAATCAGCAGCCCCTTCCCATTCCACCACTGGGATTCTTCTACTAGATCAGAAACTTCCCACACACAGAAAGGAGTTCCCCAGTCCATGGGAAGTAGATTCTGGATCCAGCTTATTGACTTTGTTCCCCAGCTCCAGGACCCTCAACCCTTTCTCCACAATGTCTCCAACAGATACTGTATTCAATCTTCACCAGATTGCTGAAGCCCTCGCTTTGAAAGTCATATAAGAACAGCTTAATCAGCTTCTTATTGGCCCGGAGATGCTGGTGGTTGCCACAGTGGAATGGGGGGCAGTTGGCAGGGAAGAAAGGCAACCCTCCGTTTGTGTTTGGCAAACACTGAATTGTTAATTGTTTCTCTACAGAATTCCACAGTGATGGCAAGGGCTGAGAACTTCCGCAATGTGGATTACCTTCTCATCCATGGAACAGCAGATGGTGAGATTTATGAAAAGCCAGTACAGATCTTGAGATAGAATCACTGTATTTAAAAAAACACTTTGTTTAAAAAACGTAAGCATTTTTAATACGGGTCAGTACTTCCAGATGCATTTCCCTTTTCCATTCGGCATATCAGGCAATGCTGATTCATTGTTGATCACATCTGTCATATAGCTTGATAACTCATTACTTGAATCTAATGCACTAGAATTGTGTGCTTGCTGGTATTTATCAACTGGGGGGGCTAGTTATGAGCCACTTTCATTGTCTTAATTTCATTTCTTCTTCCTTTCCTATTGTTTCAGACAATGTACATTTTCAGAATTCAGCACAGATCTCCAAAGCCTTAGTCAACGCACAAGTGGATTTCCAGGCAATGGTAGATATTATCAAGCTATTTAAATATCTATGTACTGTATAGTTCTAATAGTATCATGAACCAGCCAGCCCCTTTCCCATGATTATCCACACTTTTTTGGATCACTGGCAGGGGCTAGTGGTTTTTTTTAGCGTGGGTCGGATCACTCGGTTTTAGTTTGGTTTCGAGCATATGTGATTGCTGGTATCAAACCAAATCCTTCCCCATGATTATCCACACCTTTTTGGATCACTGGCAGGGGCTAGTGGGTTTTTTTTTAGCGTGGGTCGGATCACTCAGTTTTAGTTTGGTTTCCAGCATATGTGATTGCTGGTATCAAACCAAAGTGGTATTGGTGGGTGTGTTGCCTGAGGGAGATGATGACATATTCAGCTGGGTGTTGCATTGCAATGTGCAGTGTGAACACCTCCTCATCTTCTGATCTTCTTCTTCTTTTTTCTGTGGAATACAGTGCTGTGTCATTTAGATTATGACAAGTGCCCCAACAATTCAGCACTATGCCACTTACCAGTATATTTTTTTTAAGAACAAAGAAATCCAGCTTCCCTCTGCTCCCTGCAGAGGAGGAGACAGAACAGGACCTGGGGACATGGAGGCAGGGAGGGAAGAATCAGCTAAATAGGGCTGCTTTGAAGGGTGATATCGTTTCTTGTCCTTAAACCATCCGGTGCTTGTCTCGGTGTTAAAGGATCACTCAACATGGCATGGCACACTTTGAAGCCATCCCATTTAGACTGAGGCAGGTGGACATGTAGTCGTACCTTCATTTCCCCTCCTCTGGATTTTTGGAATTGCAACCTTGGGGCCTATTCAAGAGCTTTAGTCCATTCCGTCATGCACAATGGAAAAATACAGTGTAATTTACGTGGTGTAAACTTAGGGGGCAACTATGTAGGCCATTTATTCCATGTCAGATTTGGCATGGATGAAATTGAATTGAAAACCAGTGATTACATGACATAAAGCTAAGTACAAGGAAGCTGAGGGGGGAACTGTCTGCTGATGGTCTGGCTGGTTTGGCTCAAATTCCACCAGTGTTGGTTTTCTCCACTTCCTGCCCTGTGTGGTCGTCTGATCTGATGCAAAGGGTTAGTTGTGGGGGTGTCAGTTCCCTTCAACCAAGTGCCTGTTGTCTCCAAACACTATTTCTTTTCTCTCTCTTTTTTTAAAAAAAGTGTACTTCCAACTTAGTACTGAAACAAATTAGCCTTATGTCATTTAGAAAAAAAATTTAAAAATTGAAAAGCGGTGAAGGGAAGGGGTGGTTCTAGTGGAAATAGATAATCTGCACCTCATCAGCTCCTAGAGGCAGCTTCCACTGTTGCATCTCTGTGCGTGAGCAAATATTGAACAGGATACTGACCAGATTTTTTCCTGAAGAGGGCAAGTGCCTCATTTCCCTTTCTCCCCTTCAAAAGGAACTAATAGAGTTCCTTTTGCCAGCATCTCCCTTTAGAGAAATGGATCCTTTAGCTCAGTGGTCCCCAACCTTGGCCCTCCAGAGGTCCTTGGACTTCAACTCCCAGAAATCCTGGCCAGCAGAGGTGGTGGTAAAGGTGTCTGGGAGTTGTAGTCTAAGAACATCTGGAGGCCCAAGGTTGGACACCACTGCTTTAGCTGCTTTAACACATATGCACATATTCATTAATAATGTTCCAGGAAACCCTTTACTCTAAAAGGAAAAAAAGACATGACCCTGTTTGCTTAAGACCTAAATCTCAATTCATGTCTGAATGTTACATCTCTTTCTTCGGGAATTAAAGCCCTTGCTGACTCCTGTGTTTGTCTGGATGGCTACAGTGATTTCACCCACAAAAACCACCAGGGGAGCCAATTTGAAATTTTTTTTGAATCAAAGCAGGTTTTTCCTGCAGTATAGAACAGAAGATACTCTAAAGAGGCTTTATTTTGCTAGCAATATCTTCTTGCTAAGGTTGATGTTTGCAGGGGAATGTAGGACTGAGTTTTCCCAGGCCCACCTCTGTCCTTCATTCTTGGTCAGTGGAATGGAAACAGTTTCCACAGTCAAACAGAAGATAATAAACATTTGCCACATCCGCTGGGAGATTTTGGAGATTTTTCTTTGTCCTTTGAGCCCCGGACTTGTCCTCCAAATACAGTGGTGCCTCGCTTAACGACGATAATCCATTCCAGGAAAATCACCGTTAAGCAAAAACATCGTAAAGCGAAATAAAAAACCCCATTGCAACGCATTGAAACCCGTTCAATGCGTTCCAATGGGGTAAAAACTCACCGTCCAGTGAAGATCCTCCATACGGCGGCCATTTTCGCTGCCTGTATAGCGAGGAATCCGTCCCTAAACACAGCGGGGAGCCATTTTAATTACCCAGCGGCCATTTTGAAACCGCTGATCACCTGTTAGAAAAACATCGTTTTGTGAAGAATTGGTTCCCGAAGCAGGGAACCGATCATCTCAAAGCGAAATTCCCCCATTTAGACCATTGTTTTGCGATCGCAAAAAGATCATCGTCAAGCAGATTCATCGTAATGCGGGGCAATCTTAAAGTGAGGCACCACTGTATCATATTAAAGACTGTTTTGTGGAATCCTGATTTTCATTCCTGTGTTGCATTGGGCGTGACATAGGGCTGCTATTTGACATAACTGAGATAACTCCCTTGTGTTGCTATCACCTGGGGCCCTGGCCATTAACTGTACAATCATTTTAATACTTCTTTTTCTTTTCAGTGGTATGCTGATCAGGATCATGCGATTCCAGGACTTTCACTTAAGCATCTCTATGTTCATATGACCCATTTCCTCAAGCAGTGTTTTTCCCTTCCTTAGAAAGAGACTTTTCTTCTTCTATGCGCCTGGACCTCAGTGAGAACAATGCATGTTTTGCTATGAAGCAACATTAGTTGCACAAATTAAGCATATTTTGAAGACAGAGCAAGAAAGCTAAAATGAAGGCAAGCTTGATGTTTACTGTCTTTTATTACTGTACTTGCACATTAACTAATCATTTGTGATCAGTTACATTTATTTGTTTGAAAACGAAAGGACAATAAAAGCAAAACTAGTATTTTATAGGCTGTCCATTTCCCTTTCTCTCCCCCCCCCCAATCTCCAGTCTTTAATCCAGGCTCATATGTCATGTAGATCATTCCTTGTGGAGCCAGAGGTTTAAGGGATCGTTCTGAAAAGGGGCACAAGAATGGGTCACGGGGACCTTCTGCATGAGTATTCAAACTAGCACAGGTCATATTGCAGGAGAATCTAGCATAAGAACCTGAGGAATTTATTTCCATGTCAGGGGACACAGCAGTGAGCTCTTACATGGTTTATTTCTGGTTAGATTATATATTCGTCCTTTGCCTTTCACGGCTTGTGGGCTCTGCAGAAAGATATGGCTAGGCATCACACTATGGCTTGGAGGCTTGTTATGGATGTGACCTGGTTGTGATGAATATAGGATAATCACCCCTTAATAATCTAGAATATAGAAACTGCACAGGAGGGGCAAGATCGCATGCCAATCCTTCTACCTGGGAAACTTCCTTTCTCTACAGAGGATTCTGGATTCTTAACACTCCCCTAACAGCCTAAAAATGTATGTTAAGAAAGCCAAGTTCATGGCAATTAGGAAAGAGCAAGAAGCCCAAGAAAGATGAAAGTACAGTATGGTTCAAAATGAAAGTATGGAGTATGTTGGCAAATGTAAGTAACTTGGAATTTGGCTGAATGTGCAGTGGGTTCATCACCATGCTGTAAAAGTCCGAATGGAGCAGTAGCCTTAAGATGAAATTCTAATACATAAGAAAAGTGTTTAAAATTATTTTGGGAATATGCCCTGTATGGTGCTCTTTATTCTTAGTTGTACCTTGATGGCATGGAATCCAAAATTTTCAGATAGGCAACTGTAGAAAAGAACCATCTGAAATGTGGGTACATTGCAAAATGCTAAAAACTACTTGGATTGAGAGATTGACCAGCAAACCAGTACTGAACATATAAAGACCAGAAAATCATAAAACACAAAATGCAGAAAGCTATAATACTTCAGTCACTTAATTTAAAACAAAAAGTCGGGATTGTTTACTTGCATCTGAAGAAATGGATTATAATTTATGAATGATACACCTGCTGATGCCCCATTGCTTCTTATCGTAAGTTACAACTAGAGTAGGCCCATTGAATCAGTCAACTCCTGCATAAGTTCTATTGATTCAATGGGCCCTACTCCAGTTGTGACTTGTTGTGCTAAGCAACAGGATTTCAGCCACTGAAGCTGCTATAATATTTTGCTTTTCTTTTTGCCTTTGTCTCCTACCTCTCCGAAAGGAATAGACTGACACAGCTAATCATTCATGGTTAAACAAATGGGAAAGAAATAAAGAAAGGAAAATAATTCCATTTGCTGAAGAACCTGGGAGACTGGTTTGCATGTAACATGTCACTGTTTAGCACTGCCGTATCCAATGTCCAAAATGATGGCGTCCAACTTCTGGTAGAAGAGAAGTGGCAAGAAGAATGTATTCAGCCTACTCACCCTAGTACAATTCCCAAGAGGCATGCAGGCTGAGGCAGCAAGGCTGTTCAACTGATATAAAACCAATATATGCTATATAGATACATTCTCTTCCAGTGGCAATACCATGACCTAACACCGCAAAAGATATATTTTGAAGATATTATAATTTGTTATGGTGCTAGGTTAGGGCAATCTCTTTAGATTAGAATGGACCTACGTCACTGTGGCCAATATTGTGTTGCTTTGCATGTTACATTTCATTAGCGTAGACCCATTAAATCAATGGAGATTTGTTGAGTAAATTTCTCCATAAGCTTAATTGATTCAAATGGACCTACTCTAACTTGCTTTTGCATAGTAAGTCACAGTTGGAGTAGGCTCATTTGCATCAATGGAAGCTACAGAGGAGTTGACTCACCAAATCCCTGATGATCCAATGGACCTCCTCTAGTCTGATTTACTATGCTAAGCAACAAGATTTTGGCCAATGTTACATTATAGTTTAGTTAGTGTCAAGCCACTGATACGATTTTTTATTTAATTCGGGGACTTCAAAACAAGGCAAAAGGAATCGTTTGACATAAGAAATAATGAATAAAGGATGACCTAGTACAGAGATGGCCCAGTGGCCACCAGATGTTTTGGCCTAGGATTCCCATTGTCCCCAGGTAGCACAGCAAAAGGTATTAGGAGATAGTAGGTAGTTCAAAACATGTGGAGGGTCAAAAGCTCCCCACCTCAGTGCTAGTAACTTAATCTGATGTGCCCTCAACTTTGATTTGCTTCCAGCCATCTGATCTTCCAACAAATGAGATTTTTTTTCCTAGAGAACAAACACATCTTTTTATGTCAATGCCTCTGCCAAGTAGTTTTTGATGATTAAATTAAACTTTGATAGGAACTCTTTAGAAAAAAAATTAAATTCAACAAAAGAAATTTTTTGGCAACTCTGCCAATTAAGAAACACTAATGAGTTTTTGTTGGTAATGTAATTAGACTTCAGCTGCTCTAATTGGTAGAGGAAAAATTATTGTTCGGAGAGAGTGAACATTAAAATAAGCAAGTATAACATGGAATAGAGCTAATTAAAAAGGTGATTAGAAAGACTCTTTACGTAGTGCATTGGCAATGACACTCTCCTTAGGGCAACGACAGAGCCTAAGAATTTGTCCACACCATGGTGTCGTTTCCAGTCCTCTGGGGTTCCGGATCATTTTGGTATTTTTGTGCAGATTTGAATTGAACATCCTGATATTTCTATCCACGCATGGCGAGGGTCTTTTTGTCGCTGGAGGTACTGTGATGCAAGGAGCTGTCCTGATACCATCTGTCTGCACATATCCAAAACTGCTCCTCTGAGGTGTCTCTCCCACCACCTATTGCCTGACCTTTTTGCCTCCCCCCCCCCGGTGGATGTCTTCTCTTCCCTACTCATTTTACCCATCCATGGGGCGCAGAGGGGTAGAAACTGACAGCTAGGAAAAAAGCCCATAAGGAAACATCATCAAATGACACACAGCCACATGCTGCATGGCCTGGCGGGGAACTTGGGGCCACACAAGCAGCGTCTGCAGTGGAGCAAATCAGAACCAAAATAGTAACAGCATGTTTGTAAAAAGAACTGAAAGGGAGGGGTTCCCCTCCCCTTGTTTCGACTCTGTTAACACTAGTTCCAGTCCTGTGCTGTGTGGACACCAGCAGACAGTACTGGTATTATAGGTGCAAGGAAACTTGAACAAATGCTCAGGGTGGAGGGGCTTCTTCTTTCCAGTCCATTAACACTGAAAAAAACTATTTTGGCCGATGGGGTTGTTGGTACAGAACCCTCCTGAAGTTTTTTTAAAAATAGTTTTTTCCCCTTCCTTTTCCTCAAAATTCTTGAACATTTTCTTTAGAAAGAAAGCTGCAAATACATACCAGAATTTCATTCCAGATAAAACTCAGTGACAGTTCTGGTCTACAGCACAAAGGGTCAAATGCGACAATAATGCCTTTAACGGTGAGCTTGTTTTTCGTTTTGTTTGTTTTTGTTTTGCACAGGTACTTCCTCAAGTGATGAAATATACTGTATCTACCATGATTTTCCTAACCTCGCATTTTTGCATTTAACATGCTCTGTGTTCTTATTTGTAAATTGGAAAATTCAAACGTGGATTTAATATCCAAGTACGTAATTTGGATGTCTGATTGCTGAAGAATATCCGAGGAAATCCTGTTCTGTTCCATAGGCTTGTCTGAGTCTGAATAAGCCTTCTTTCACCCAGTTTAATCCCTGCAGGACACTTACAGAAAGGATGTGGCTGTTGTGCTGCACAGTCTCCTTTGCAGTTCTTCCTAAAAATTCAGATAAATTATTTCAAGAAGGGCGCAACTGTGCATGCTATGGATCTTTGATCCATAAACTACGCCCTTTTAGAGAAGCCACAAAAATATATAATGAAGTGTTTAAGATCTAAAAAGTTAGCCTCCCAATTTCACTTATGTAAACTTATTTAACGTTATTCTTCATAACATAGTGGTAGTGCCTCTAGCTGAAAGAGCCTCTAGTCAAATATACATGTGTCACGTGACTAGAAACTGGGAAATATGTTGGTGGTGTAGCTCTTGAATTGTAGTTTGTAGATCCATGCAAGCCCTATTCATGAGTGCAGGCATTGAACTTGTGGTTTCCAGTTTCATGAGCTCAGGGTTGCAGCCTGAATTTTATCATAGCTATGCAAAATGCCAAAAGGGATTGGTGGGCAACACACTATCTAAGCAAATTTTGGCCCGCTTATGAGTACCCATTTTTGCCCATCATCACTGGCACCAGCTGTCACTGCATCTACAAGATCATGCCCAAAATTTCAGATTTAAAAGGCTCTCATCCTGTGCATACTTTTGTGGAAGAACAAAGTAAGGAAGAAATTCAATGAGATGTACAGTACTTTTAAATGAACATGCTTTAGCGCTGGGCTGCGGGAATGATTGTCTACTGACACATTATGCCAAATTGAGTCAATATTGACTGTCAAAAAAAAAGCATCCTCAGCCAGCCAAGATGTTAATGATTTCATGTTTTGTCATCAAGAGAATCACAAATAACATCTATATTGCAATTTCATCTCCCTCCCCAAATGTGCTAAACAACTTGCAATTACAGGGTGCAGATGTTTGCAGAATCATTCTAATAGATTGTAGTTAAGCTGAATGATTCCTACATTGTGATGTAGTGGCACTCTTAATGATTTTCATTAGAAATGTCATCTTTTTTTCAAAGTATTTTGGCAGCAAAGACTTTGGTTTACGTAGACTAGAAACAACCAATCTCACACTTTCACTCCGAATCATTACAAAGTGAAAACATGATTGTTCACGTGATTGTGCAGCCATTAGCATATCCATATACCTGAATATGTAAGTGGAGCTGTAATGCATAGCCCTGCTCCCCCATAATATGTAGGCCCTTACCTTTGGCAGTCACATATGAAGGATGAATGTCTGCAAAAGGGAAATGTCCGTAGGATGTTTGTATCATTGTGGATCCACACAACTCAGAAACTGCATTCAGACTGAG